GACAGTTTGTAACTAGTCGGGTCCATTGTCAAAACGGAGCGGAAATGCACGGCCAGCTTCGATAAACTGTGAACTTCTTTGGTGCCTCTTTTTATACAAAAACCAATATCCGCTTGTGTTATTAACTGAAGGAAATTGTTTTCTTAACTCAGTCTTAGTTATTTCCGCAATCTACTTGATGTTTTGCTTGACGTTTAAAGATCTTAAAAAATAATTGACGTGTACTGTAATTTTATTCCGGAAAATTCGCTTTATCTGGAAAGCTTGTTATTACGCACTCAGGTAAAACGTCAAATCGATATTGAAATTCAAGTGCAACAGAGCGAAAATGTGAATTGCAGCAAACAGATAATTCCGACGAGCAAAGCTTTATTTCCAATAAAAGGAATAATGGAATTTTCTGAATTTCCAGCGCATTCCAATTAAATCGATATGAAACGGATTGTGGATTGAACGAGCTAATTCGACGTGATTTAAATCCTGAAATCAGTCCTAGATTTAACAGTTCCATTTTTTTTTTAATTAATTCCATGGCTGTCGAGACGACGTTTTTTCTTTGCGACAATATCGTGACGTGGAGAAGTTTTCAGTTCCCGTTTGAATTTATTACGGGGTGAAAACCCGATCGATAGGTGGGTTGGGGTGGCGAAAGCAGGGAAAGAGAAGGAGCAACTGGTTGAAAAGCCAACTCAGACTGTGTTAGGAAAGGTCATTAAAACTTCGCCCCAACTTTGTTATATATATTGTAAAAGGTCGATTTAAATTTACATTTGCTTGAAGATAACTATTCTAGTAATTTTCAAATAATCGTCAATTTTGTGTTCAGTATGTGAATGCAAGAATTACGGAAATGGGGAAAGTGATTTTTATTTAATCTCTATAAAAATCGTTTCACCACCGCCTTAACTCACTGCACTTGTAATTTAAAATAATAATAAAAAATTTCTTGTTGTTGGTAATGTTGCTTTTTAAAAACCGTATTCACGCTCTGTCACACGCACAAGTTAGTTAATCTTCAACTTTAGTGCGCGTCACAACGCGAATAAAATTTTTTGTCTTATTTTTGTAACTATCTCTAGGAAATATTAACTAAACGTAATTTTACAGACGATTAAATTACATTTAACACATTTAACCTAAGCTACATATGTTGGCTTAAAGTTGCTGGCCACGCCTTCTTCCCCCACTCCACAAACGACTGAAGCAAGACGACCAGCATCAGCGTTAAACACTCTGTCGGAAAATATTTCAACAAACTCTAAAACATCTAGAAATTTAAAAGTTTGGATACAATTTTACAACATAAAAGTTAGTCCAGGACTCGAAACAATTTTTGAAATAAACATTTATCTTTATCTGTCGAGTAAATGTACCAATTATGGACATTAGAGATATTTACCTAGGCGTGGTAGCTGGATGGTCGATTTACCCAATGATCCCTAAAAAAATAGTCCCAAGTTTTTCTGTCTTGGAAGTCTGGATCTCATAGAGATTACTGAAACTAAAATTCTCCCACGGTAACAACTTTTCGACATTTTCAAAAATTCTTACCTCCCAACGAGAGAAATGATTTCCTGAGAACGATTTACAGCCAGTTTTCCAAGACTATCCACGTGGTTCCAAAAAAAAAACACTCCTTCTGACTCCTAATTCGAAATTACGCTGGTTTTCGCACTACTTAATCTATATTTACAGTTAATGCTATATTTACAAGTCTTTCGATGTATCGCCTGAAGTGGCCGACTTTGTTAAATTAAAGTCCCAGCCACTAAGTTCGTTGTTGTCAGAAGGTGTGAAAATCCAATGCAGTACCAACATTTAAACACCAAGTTAATTTGGTACTATAAGTAAAGATTACAAAAAATTGCCCTACTACATTTTTTGAATTTATTATTTATTAGTGTAAGTTTATTTTTTGGTTTGGCCACAAAATGGAGCACTTGACGTTCAAATATTAATACTGCATTGAAAAAATCCAAGTCCGGTTGCAGAAGCGGGGGTTCGCCACAATTTACACTTTTCCTGAAAAACATTTTTGTTAAGGCTTCAATTTTGAATTACGATCGACAGATAAAGATTAAATCAGTATTAATTGAACAACGTTGGCATCTTCTGCAGCAAAGGTGAATTTATATCAAGCACTGTATATACTGACCTTGAACCCATTTTAAGCTAATTTAGTATTTTTTGGGAAATGTTTTCAGGGAGGTCAGACATAAAATTGGCCCACAACTGAAATTTAGCTTTTTTTGTTTTATTAATATTGCGAGGAGATCCTGCAGCGTAGTCAACAGGTTAAACCACCTGTTGAAGCGGGAGACGGCCCTGTATCGAGCGGTTTGCGGCGCTTTAAATAAAGCGACAAATCGCTTAATGCTTCAACAAGTGATATATATTTTTTTTATTTCATGACTGTTTTTTTCCACATTTTTTTTCTTGTTGCTTCTGTTTTGTTCTTGATATTTGTTCTATTTTTTCGTTTTTGTTGTTTGTTTTTCTCGTAAGCGAGTTTTGTCTTCCATGGATAACCAAATTTAAAAAATTCAGGGATATGTACAAGGAAAAATGTTGTAGAAATTCTGTAAAAAATATTGTTGAATTCGATCGTAAAATATTATTAGTTTCACTTCAATATTGGAATATTTTCTGTAACTATTTTTCGTCCTCCACGCTACTAATAGTGTTGCATGCAACCTAACCTCACTTATTCGTATAATAAAATTAACCCCTCCTCTGTAAAAAAAAAATAAACGCCAACTTGAGACTTTTTCAATTTTCAATTCAATTCAATCATTTTACAAGCAGGAAAATGTTATATAGTCATCTAAAAAAATCTTTTTTTCTAATAATGTATATAAAATTAAAAAAATATATTAATAATGCTCAAGTTTATATAGTTTATTCATAGATAAATGTCAAACTTAAAAATTAGAGGTTATGTGTCTTTTGAAGTATAACAATAGGTCATGCGCATGCGTGTGACCCAATTCCATTTGGAAAAAATAAAAAATAATGACCTGAAAATTTTGGTGTCAAAATCGCAAATGTACTGCGCAATAGGGTAAACATTTGTACTAAAACTTGCTAAAGAAGTAAGAAAATTTTGGCAGGTGGCGCTGACTTTTCAAAATGGATATTTTGTGTGTATTTATAAAAAATAAAAGCTAAACGTTATCGACAACAATATAACAATATAAAAATTAATAACACTAATACCAGGTGACTATTAAATTTGAATTTGACATCAGGTATGCCATCATAAAATTTTGAATGTGTTGCCAACCTGACAAAAAAATCACAAACATTATTAGCACTGAGTAGTTAAGTCCTTCAGTCAATAAAAACAACCAAACGAATTTAATTATTTTTAATCAATAGTAAGATATGTATAGTTTGACATTTTTTTGTATTGTCAGCAGTAACTGGAGCAAGAAATTTAAAAATAATTTCAACACCAAACATCAATAAAACGGCTAAAGTCGTCTTATTTGTACTCACGCTGCGTTCGAGTTGCTGCACCGAATGCATCCGATGCACTGAAAACGCACCCCTGAAACCGCCGCCTGAAAGCTGAAAGCTCCAACGGACCTGCGTTGTCGGGAGTGGGAGGAGTCTGCGACTTTAAATTATTTTTCCAGCTTTCTTGTTTTACAACCATTTTTAATGTCGCACTAAAATTTGGCAACAGTTAGTTGATTTTAATTAAAAAAAAGGAAAGCTTTTTCGATAATAATTTACATATTTCCACGTTCCAACATTTCAGTATTTTAATATACGTTTATTTTAGTGTAAAAAAAAAAGTTGAGTGACAAATCTGACATTTGGAGTAATATTACGACTATTGACAATAGATGGAGCTGATACTTAAATTTCCTTTGGTAACTAACTTGAAGTGACGTAAAATATCTGCCAAACATTTTCAAATTTTCGTTGAAAATAAAGAAGCTCTGTTTGTATTAGTCGTTAAAAGCAGACTTCAAAGGGCTTATTTTCGAACCGGAAACATCGAAAGGGATTTAACGTCGCCATGTTTCCACGCTTAATTCATGTAACATTCGCAAATGCCCTTTACTGATTGCTCTTTGCCAAAGGGCGTTGAATTCAGCCCTTTACACAGCATTTGCAGTTCACGTTTTTGACGTGAGCTCCACCAAAGCGCAGTACGAAACAAGTAAACACTGACTTCGTTTGATCAATTTTGGAATATGTTGTACCCGCTGATCCGTAAATTTCCGCGTTAGTCAAATTTGGACCAAAATGACGATGTTGTAGTTTACGAAAGTCTGCACAATGACGACGTTATATATACATTACAATAAAAACATGAATGAGGACGAATTTCAACCATGAAGATATGTAATTAATTTAAAATGGTAGTTGTGGTTTATGAACGCGTTCATATTTTTTTAAATTACTTATACAGGGTGACTTAGAGCTTTTTAGATCGGATGGACAGTTTTACACTTAACATCGACACTACAAAAACATTTCTTGTTTTTAGATACTCACGCTGCCGCCGAGCTTGCAGAGAAATGCATCCGATGCATCCAAAGCTCGCATGTGCAACTGACGCCTGAACCTGAAAGCTGAAAGCTCAAGCGTGCATAACAACCTGCGTGGAAATCAGTAGGAGGAGCCTTTTTAGTTCCTCCTTTTAAATATGTCTTCCAAGCTCTGTGATCACGTACTTAAGGGTGTTAAATTTAAAAACATGGGTTATATAATAGAGTTATAGAAAAAATAATTTTTAGTTATTATTTTATCTTTTTTGGATGAACAAAGATGTCTGTAGACTGTAAGTACTTAACATTTACGTTAGTTGAATTATAAAGATCATAGAAAAATATTTATATGTTACACTTTATCACATCGGGTGTAAATAGCCACTTTTCCAACAACTGTAGGTAAATAACATTTTTTCAGATATTTGACTGTCCAAAGAAGTGTGAAAAATCGGTTCAACAAAGCAATTATTTATTTATGTAGTTTTTATTTCCCATAAACATCAATTCACAAAATATAGTGATTTTGGTTACATATATTTTACGTGTTAGAATACATTCATAAGATATTTAAAGTTAACTCCTAACATAGGCAACTCTTCGTACAAGTGTAAAGAAGGTTGCCTATACAACAGGTAAATATATATATTAATTGTACATCACATAAAATTTCGAATTTTGATTTTCATTAAGCGTATAATCGGAATTATCCACTACTACTAACACACCGATTGAGTTAGCTATAACACACATACAAAATAACCACAAATTTTGTCAAGATACGTACTGAATTTACAAAACTGGTTGTTATTTTGCAAGCTAATTCAGTTTAAGCTTGAACAAACATCAGAGTGCTCTAGCAGCAACTTCAGACGGAATAGTTCTGTAACGACTGAGCTAAGCAAAAAAAACATCACACATATTTTTAGATAGCCGTTACAAAAATATCACCAACAGAAGTTTTTTCGTGTAGACCCTGTATAAATATAAACTTTTAAAAATTTGATAAAATTTAAATATCTGGCGCCCACTTGCTGAAAACTGTACAGCCTTTGATAGTTTCCAGAAAGTGAACGCAGTTAGTACAACATTGTTACAAAATATAGTATATTTAACACGATATATATGTGATTTTATTAAACATTAATCAGAATATATAATATATGATTATTGATTAAACACTCAGAAAATATATGCAGGGAATTTGACGTCTGCATGGTGACAACGCCTTACGAAGTGTAAAGATGGTTGCCTACATCCGTACAATCGTAGTATCGATTATAGCGAATATTTTTATAAAATATAGTCTTGTATATAGATGTATTGTTCTTATGGTCATAGTGCTAGTCTGTATCAACCTCAGAAACCGACTCGTGTGACAGTTCGATAGAAATGATGATATAAAATGTTATTTTCAGATAGTGTGTAAAACTGGTTGCCTACACAATTTAAAAATGCAAAATTGGAAATTCAGCTCTCGAATGTCCTATAATTAACAGAAATACGCATTTTTTACATTAAATTTTATTATTAATGTGAACGAACTTATATAATCTTAAATTTTTACACATTTTCGTTTTAGAATTTCATGGATTATTTTATTCGAGTTGTAAATAATACGTTTTATATTAAACATAGATGTAACATCACATTAACCCTACTTGGAATAATGGAACATTGGTAACCTTTCGCTGTATCAGAATTCTATTCCGCAATTTGAGTGACACAAAAGGGCTCATTGATTATGCGAAACCAATCGTGAGATAGAATTCTTGAATAGCCGGGAGTTACGGGTACTGCTTGGAAGTGGAAGGCATCTCCTCGTTGAAACTCGAGGAAGACTCCTCTTGTATTGCCAGCGGGGGTACCTATAACGAAAAGCGTCCATTAGCAGCCGCACCAGTCCAACTCAGTCAAAACAAGCTCCTTGAAAAGCGTGACTCAAGCAAACTGCTAACCCTAACTACAATAAGTGTAAAGTGGATTGTCAAACTCGTCACTTACGATGGCAATCCAAGACGACTCCTTCTGTAAAAGAACACCACTTTGAGACCTGTTCAGTCTAAATCGTCGGAATCTAGCAACTTTTACCTGTTTGTCTTCTTCCAGCGTGGGTAGGAGGTCATCCGTTGAGTGAGGACTCGGAGTGGGTGCGACGCGTCCGCTGGAATTAGCAGAAGAAGTCATCCTTGCCAGTCGCCTCTGCATCTCCCTCTCCTCCTTCTGCTCCCGTTCGCGCTCGTACCTTCTAGCGCTGTAGCTCTTCAAAGAGTTGAGACTGTGGACTGAGGTTAAGCTGGGGCGGCGGGATCCTTTACAAATCGTACAAAGTTTCAATGGGTTATCGTTTCCCCAGTCGTGGTACTAAGTTACCATGCAATATCTAGGTGCAAAATCTATATCTACAAACAAGTTTGACTACTAGCCGTCTAAACTCTTCTGAGTCTATCCTAAAAGAAAAGCATAGTTTGAAATGATACATACATGCAAGTGAGAGTGTGCGTGCTTGTGTGTGTTCTTTGTGTCGGTTTCTCACAATATCTGTCGTGATCTCATTAAGAGATGCAGTAAAACTGGAAAGCCGGTTAACCGCTGCCATCTTGCGTTCTCCATGCTAGAATGTGGATGGAATGAAGAAATGAGAGATGGTGAAAGGTGTGATCGGAAGCGTCGTGTCAATGTTGATTGTAGGTACAATAGAGTCACAATTACTGGTCACGAAGAGTTCAGTTGGCTTTGTTGCTCTATTGTCACCCCTCGAGACATAGTGTAAACTTGTAAAATTCGTTTCTTTTTGTGTTTGGAAGGTGTGGAAGTTGTATCATCTGTGTACTAACCATATCACAGTACTACTCTAGTACACAACAAACAACCCGGCACACTGACTGTACCGATGCTAGGGGGGTTTACGTCAGGGGTTGCGGAAGGGCAAGAGAGTAGCAAGATGGCGGCGGTGCGGGCCGCACCTGCTCGGGAGGCGGAAATTCCGCGGCACCCTTGGGCACTACTGGCCCGCCGAGACGGCAGCGACGCTATTGTCCTGCGACTCGACGTCCGCGACGTCAAGCTCCGGTCGTAGATAGGCATCGGTAAGGATCCTGCAGAGTACAAAGTCACAACTTTTAGTAAGTCGGGTGTGGGGATACACGAACTACAAATAACGCCATATTAAGTCAAAAAGCTGGCGCCCGACTTAACATGGAATTATCATTTTTGGGAGAAATAGTTGACACAACTTAGTTCCACTTGTACAGCTCTACGTATTACACAACGGAAATATTCAAGACACCTGTCCCTTTTTCTGTTTGTGAATATCTCCTATTTAGTTTAACACCTAGAAATGGCTACACCAAATAGAACACAACTGGTGAAGAAACCACAAAGCAGAAACCGTTCTAACGATAAAAGAGCGCCTGTGGTGTCTTTACCGTCCACGAATTCGACACAATAAGACACGTCAGTCAGTCAGTCAAAACACTGATTTGTCTTACCGTGCCTCAAACATAGAACATTTAAGACAACAAGTTATCAAAAGTCGCACGGGCCTTACCTGGGTCGCTCGAAAACAAAATAGGAGGTGCCAAATTAGCATTACCAAAGCGGTGACGTCTAGTACCATACAAATTTTGATTAAATAGGCGCAGCACGAAGCACAGAAGCCCAGACAAGAGCGCAATCCCTGACAGAACTCCGGCGAACGTCGCAAAGTCATTGGTCGTCATTAAATCGAGATCTGCGACCCAAAACCAATATTGAATTTTTACAAAAAATTCAGTTACCCTCTGCACAGAACACCCTCTTAGACGGTTTCTGCACCGACACCAGATGGTAGCCGCCTTCGCATTGGCAGACGGCGTTGTGGTCGACTTGGACGCAAGCTGAATGTTGGTCACTATGCTTGCAAGTTTCTCTGTAATAGCACTGATCACCAAGTCTTTTTGCTACGGGGGTTGGATTAATAACAAAGATGGTTTAAGTACTGTGGTGGCTTACGTTTTGCACAACCTGTATAAGGATCAAGCTTGACGGGGTAGCTTTTCTCGCACTCGCAAAGACCAGAATCAGGGTTGCATTGAACATGGAGGAGCTTGGGGCTACAGGAGTCGACGCAGGCCGCCCCCAAGAACATCCCTTGTTCTAGTGGAAGAGCTAAATTACCTTTGGGGATTAGCTATTCAGTTGTGAAAAGATTAATACAATTGTGTACCCAAAGCACTCACAGCATAGTGGCGACATCCACCAGGATTTCTAACAATAAATCGATACTTACTTGTTGTGATTCTAAACTGTGAGCTAAATATTGATTTGATCGATTAATTTCCGTTATAACCTAAAACCAGACAAAAGTATGAACTTTTCCAATTGGGTGAAGTTGCAGTTGACACTAATCAAAAGCGAGAAACTCCATTAAAATTAATCAACGCAAATTGGTAGAATTTCAGCGTAAAGTGACATAAAGGGGTAATCTGAGATGAGCGTTGCAAGTGATTGGAGGACGTTGAACTCTGCGTAAAGCTCATCCTGACCTAGTACACACAGCAAAAAGAGTTACGTAACTGAGCTCTGTTTACGTGAAGATGTCTATCGACCCCAAAATCTATATCATATTTGTGAAAATGAAATCAATATCGAAGACAATTTGGAAAAGTCAACGACAATATCAAAATAACTTGACCACAAGAATTAGAGTCCCATATATGGCAAAAAATTACCTGTTGCGTTGACGTCGTTTTCCTCATCATTTTTGATAAGTGCTTGTCTCATCTCCTCGTCGTCATCGTCGTCGGTGCTTTGACTGTTCCTGGGGGGTGCCAAGCGCTGTCCAAGGGGAACGAAAGGGGAGTAGAACAGTAGCATTATAATCAGCGCAAACACTCTCATTTCTGGAGGTCAGCAGTATCCTCCGGATCCCCTCTGGTACGAAGCATCGTACCTACAACACCGGAGAAATTCGCACCGACATAACCAAATCTTCATCGGATCAATATATGCGGGAGGTTTGAGCAAATTCGGCTCTGTGGACGATGGGTCGGGGTTGTTGAAGGTGGGGACTGGACTGCACGCACCAGGGATGGGCACTTACCAGAGTTCTAATGCATTTGGGCACTTTTGAGCTGACCGAATTGTTTCGAGGCTCAAACACCACTGAGTTCAGGCGGAGGGTGATTCCAGACTGCCAAATAATGAGGGGTTAGGACGCAGACTCCGGCTGGCGGCGGGATGTCTGGAGGGGGTGGCACAGGGCCGGACTACGAAGGGATGGATGCACCGATGAAAGGGGAAGATTCGAACTGTGCGGGCGAAATATCGATTGAGTTTTATAAATTCTTCTAGCGAAAGCGCGACGTTTCGCGCGTATTGGAGTGTCTTCAGGGACTGAATTACTGCATACTTTAATTTTTTCTTAGTAAAAATTAAACAACGTGCGATAATAAACAGCATTTAATAAAAAATATCACATTTAATGGCCATGCAAGAGTTCCAGTTTCGGCTTCAGTTCTATGGGTAGAGTGGCGGTCAGTGGTAGAGAGTCGGTGATGAAAACTGGGTTTCGTATTAAATTCTCTGCAAGATTTTCACTAAAACAACCGAAATCATCTTCCCTGTAATCTTACCATAAATAGGATAATCTGCATCATCAATTCTTCGTCGTTTTTTCTTCAAAATTATCACCACCACAATAATGGCTACTAAAATCGTAACTATCACACCTAGAGCTGCAGGTATTAACACTTTCAGTGGAGTGTTGATGATGGTCCTTCAACAAAAAAATTAATCCTAAGATATAAAAATAACCTACACTAACCTGATCACGGGAATGTCGCTGAAAATACCCCCACAATCCTCAGCAACACAATTTTCCACACAAGTTGTGTTGTCAGTACAAAGTGAAAGAACAGACTTCAGAATACACCTATTATTCATAGCTTCATAGTCTCGAGGACAGTCACGATAAAGACACAGAGCGCGACAAATCGGAACACATTTGTCTTCAAAGTCTGTTCCATATCCATCGTTACACTTACAAGTGTTGGGTTTGACACAGTAACCATTTAAACAAGTGTTATTACAAACAGGATTACACTTAAATTTATCGTTAACATCTGGCACATACCCCTCATTACAAGTACAAGTGTTTGGTGAGCTACATTTAGCATCTACACAATCTTTGCTACATACAGGGTTACAACGATATTTGTTTGCGTTATCTTTGGCGAAACCAGGAGAACATGAACATGTTTCAGGGGCGGAACACTTGCTGTTAATGCACGGTTTGCTACAAATGGGGTTGCAAATGTGCTTGTTTAAAGAATCTGCGCTGAAGCCAGAATTGCAGGAACATGTTTCGGGTAATGTGCACTTGCCGTTTATGCAACGGTTGGTACACACAGGGTTACATAAATATTTATCTTTGGAATCTTTAGTAAAATTAGAGTTACAAGAACACATTTCTGGAGCTGTGCATTCACCGTTCACACAAGCTTTCGAACATATCGGTTTACATAAATATTTATTTTGAGAATCTTTGGTGAAACCAGAATCGCAAGAACATATTTCTGGTGCGGTACACTTGCTGTGTATACAAGCTTTACTACATACAGGATTGCACAAATATTTGTTGTTGGGATCTTTGGCGAAACCCCGATTACAAGAACACGTATCTGGGGCGACGCACATACTGTTTACACACATTCTTGTACATATTGGATTACATAAAAATCTATTTTTAAAATCTTTGTAAAATCTTGAATTACAAGAACACGTTTCTGGTGCTGTGCATTTACTGTTTATACACGGTTTAGAACACACAGGATTGCAAATATATTTATTTGCAGAATCTTTTGCAAAACCGCTGTTACAAGAACATGTTTCTGGTGCTGAGCATTTACTGTTCACGCATGTTCTACTACAGACAGGATTACATAGATATTTATTTTGCGTATCTTTAGAAAATCCCGAATTACAAGAACATGTTTCTGGTGCTGTGCATCTACCGTTTACGCAGGGTTTAGAACATACTGGATTACAAAGATACTTATTTGTTAGATCTTTCACAAAGCCGCCGTAACAAAAACATGTTTCTGGTGCTGAACATTTACTATTTACACATGTTCTAGTACAAACAGGATTACATAGATATTTATTTAACAGATCTTTAGAAAATCCTGAGTTACAAGAACACATTTCTGGTGATGTGCATTTACCGTTTACACAGGGTTTAGAACATACTGGATTACAAAGATATTTATTTGTCGGATCTTTCACAAAGCCGCTGTTACAAGAACATGTTTCTGGTGCTGAACATTTACTATTTACACATGTTCTACTACAAACAGGATTGCAAAGATATTTATTTCCTGCATCTTTCGCAAAACCATTCTTACAAGAACATGTTTCCGGTGCTGAACATTTACTGTTTAGACATGGTTTGGAGCATACAGGATTACAAAGATACTTATTTGTCGGATCTTTCACAAAGCCGCCGTTGCAAGAACATGTTTCTGGTGCTGAACATCTACCATTTACACATGCTCTTCTACAAACGGGATTACATAGATATTTATTTTGCGGATCTTTAGAAAATCCTGAATTACAAGAACATGTTTCCGGAGCCGTACATTTACTGTTCATACAAGGTTTAGAACATACAGGATTGCAGAGATATTTATTTTTCGAATCTTTGGAAAATCCGTTGTTACAAGAACACGTTTCTGGTGACGTACATTTACCATATACACAAGGTTTAGAACATACAGGATTGCAAACATATTTATTTGACACATTTTTCGCAAAACCACTGTTACAAGAACATGTTTCTGGTGCTGAACATTTACTGTTGACACATGTTCTACTACAAACAGGATTACATAGGTATTTATTTTGCAGATCTTTAGAAAATCCAGTGTTACAAGAACACATTTCTGGTGCTGTGCATTTACCATTTACACAGGGTTTAGAACACACTGGATTACAAAGATACTTATTTGTCGTATCTTTCACAAAGCCGCCGTTACAAGAACATGTTTCTGGTGCCGAACATCTACTATTTACACATGTTCTACTACAGACAGGATTACATAGATATTTATTTCGCGGATCCTTCGCAAAACCATTATTACAAGAACATGTTTCTGATGCTGAACATTTACTATTTACACATGTTCTACTGCAAACAGGATTACATAGATATTTATTTTGTAGATCTTTAGAAAATCCAGTGTTACAAGAACACATTTCTGGTGCTGTGCATTTACTATTTACACAAGTTTTAGTACAAACGGGATTACACACGTACTTATTTTTGGGATCCTTCGAAAATCCTGCATTACAAGAACATGTTTCTGGAGCCGTGCATTTACTGTTCATACAAAGTTTAGAACATACAGGATTGCAAAGATATTTATTCGCCGCATCTTTCGCAAAACCACTGTTACAAGAACATGTTTCTGGTGCTGAACATTTGCTATTTACACAAGTTTTGGCACAAACAGGATTGCACAGGTACTTGTTTTTCAGATCTTTCGAAAATCCTGCATTGCATGAACATGTTTCTGGCGCTGTGCATTTACTGTTCATACAAGGTTTAGAACACACAGGATTACAGAGATATTTATTTTTTGAATCTTTGGAAAAACCGCTATTGCAAGAACACGTTTCTGGTGCTGAACATTTACTGTTCATACAAGATTTAGAACATACAGGATTGCAGAGATATTTATTTTTCGAATCTTTGGAAAATCCGTTGTTACAAGAACACGTTTCTGGTGACGTACATTTGCTGTTTACACAGGGTTTAGAACATACAGGATTGCAAACATATTTATTTGACACATCTTTCGCAAAACCACTGTTACAAGAACATGTTTCTGGGGCTGAACATTTACTATTTACACAAGTTTTAGTACAAACAGGATTGCACAGGTACTTAGTTTTCAGATCTTTTGAAAATCCTGCATTGCATGAACATGTTTCTGGCGCTGTGCATTTACTGTTCATGCAAGATTTAGAACAGACAGGATTGCAGGTATATTTATTTTTCGAATCTTTAGAAAAACCACTATTGCAAGAACATATTTCTGGTGCTGAACATCTACTATTTACACACGTTTTAGTACAAACAGGATTGCACAGATATTTATTTTTCGAATCTTTGGAAAATCCGTTATTACAAGAACACGTTTCTGGTGACGTACATTTGCTGTTTACACAAGGTTTAGAACATATAGGATTGCAAAGATATTTATTCGCCGCATCTTTCGCAAAACCACTGTTACAAGAACATGTTTCTGGTGCCGAACATTTACTATTTACACAAGTTTTAGTACAAACAGGATTACATAGATATTTATTTTTGGGATCCTTCAAAAATCCTCCATTACAAGAACATGTTTCCGGAGCCGTACATTTACTGTTCATACAAGGTTTAGAACATACAGGATTGCAAACATATTTATTCGCAACGTCTTTCGCAAAACCACTGTTACAAGAACATGTTTCTGGTGCTGAACATTTACTATTTACACAAGTTTTAGTGCAAACAGGATTACATAGATATTTATTTTTGGGATCCTTCGAAAATCCTGCATTACAAGAACATGTTTCCGGAGCCGTACATTTACTGTTCATACAAGGTTTAGAACATACAGGATTGCAAATATATTTATTCGCCGCATCTTTCGCAAAACCACTGTTACAAGAACATGTTTCTGGTGCTGAACATTTGCTATTTACACAAGTTTTAGTACAAACAGGATTACATAGATATTTATTTTTGGGATCCTTTGAAAATCCTGCATTACAAGAACATGTTTCTGGTGCTGAACATTTACTATTTACACAAGTTTTAGTACAAACAGGATTGCAGAAATATTTATTTTTCGAATCTTTGGAAAATCCCTTATTACAAGAACACGTTTCTGGTGACGTACATTTACTATTTACACAGGGTTTAGAACAAACAGGATTGCAAACATATTTATTTTTGGGATCCTTTGAAAATCCTGCATTACAAGAACATGTTTCTGGTGCTGAACATTTGCTGTTTACACACGTTTTAGCACAAACAGGATTGCACAGATATTTATTTTTCGAATCTTTTGAAAATCCTACATTACAAGAACACGTTTCTGGCGCTGTGCATTTACTGTTTACACACGGTTTCGAACAAACAGGATTGCAGAGATATTTATTTCTCGGATCTTTCGCAAAACCGCTATTACAAGAACATGTTTCTGGTGCTGAACATTTGCTGTTTACACACGTTTTAGCGCAAACAGGATTGCACAGATACTTATTGTTTGAATCTTTAGAAAATCCCGCATTACAAGAACACGTTTCTGGCGCTATGCATTTACTGTTACCACAAGGTTTAGAACATATAGGATTGCAAAGATATTTATTTCTTGCGTCTTTCGCAAAACCGCTATTACAAGAACATGTTTCTGGTGCTGAACATTTGCTGTTTACACACGTTTTAGCACAAACAGGATTGCACAGATACTTATTTTTCGGGTCTTTTGAAAATCCGACATTACAAGAACACGATTCTGGTGCTGTACATTTACTGTTTACACAAGCTTTAGAACAAACAGGATTGCAGAGATATTTATTTTTTAAATCTTTTGAAAATCCCGAAGTACAAGAACACGTTTCTGGCGCTGTGCATTTGCTATTAACACAGGCTTTACTACAAACTGGGTTACACGAATATTTATTTTTCGGGTCTTTAGCGAAACCAGTGTTACAAGAACACGTTTCTGGTGCCGAACATTTACTATTTATGCAAGTTTTACTACATACGGGATTACACACATACTTATTTTTCGAATCCTTAGAAAAACCAGCATTGCAGGAACATATTTCTGGAGCTGTGCATTTACCATTGACACACGATTTGCTACAAACGGGATTGCAGGAATACTTATTTCTAGAATCTTTGGCAAAACCGGAATTACAAGAACATGTTTCTGGTCCCGAACATTTACTATTGACACATGTTTTACTACAAACTGGGTTGCACAAGTTCTTGTTTCTCGCATCTTTGACATAACCTGCATTACATGAACATGTTTCTGGTGCCGTACACTTGGAATTAACACAACCTTTACTACAAACCGGATTACAATTGTACTTGTTTTTGGGGTCTTTCGCGAAACCGGAATTACAAGAACATGTTTCTGGTGCTGTACATTTACTGTTAACGCAAGGTTTACTACACTTGGGGTTACACACTAAGCGGTTTCTGGGATCTGGAACGTAACCAGGGTTACAAGAACACTTATTGGCGCCCGCACATTTTCCATTAATGCAGGGTTTACTACAAACCGGGTTACACTGGTACGGATTTTTACTATCACGAACAAACCCGACGTTACAAGAACACTTTTCTATACCCACACAGTTACCATTGATGCAGTTTTTCGAACACATTTTTCTACAAAGGTACTTGTTTTTTGGATCTAGAACAAGCCCTGCGTTACAACGACAAGTCTCGGGTTGCACACAGATGCCATTCTCACAGCGTTTACTACATCTAGGGTTACACTGGTACTTGTTTTTGGGATCTTTGTCGTGACGAGCAAGACAAGAACATGTTTCAGGAGCTGTACACGTGCTGCGAACACAGGGTTTGCTACATTTGGGAACACATTTGTGTTTGATTCGAGGGTCTTTAGTGAAGCCGGGGTTACAGGTACAGGTTCCTGGTGCAGTACACTTACTGTTGACGCATAATGGGGAGCAAATGGGTTCGCAAAGGTACTTATCTTTCAAATTTCTTCTGAAGCTATTGTTGTTACAGGTGCAGGTTTCTGGTGATGTACACCGGCCGTTGATGCACGGTTTGGAACATTTGGGGATACACAGGTACTTGTTTTTGGGGTCTTTGGTATATCCGGGGTTGCACGAGCAGGTTTCGGGGGCTGTACATTTTCCGTTGAAGCATTTTTTTGAACAGTGGGGGATGCAGTGGTTTTTGCTTAGTTTGACGAAGCCTTTGCAACATTCGTTGGTTACAACGTCCTCAGTGTATGTCTAGAGAACTAATTAAGAGACGATTTATATATTTTTTTGTGAAACTTACTTCGACCCGATATTTGGTGAGACGTCTAACGGGACACAATGGCAGAGGACGTGGTCCACAAGGTACTCGACTTGTAATGAAGTATGGCACATTTCGGGTTTTTTTTACTCTGGCGAAACTTTGCGAGTGAAATAAATAAATATTAAACGTTTTACTTACTTTATCTTTTTCGGACAAATGCCATTTTTTTGTTGTTGGGTAAAATTTGTGCACAACGTAACCACAATCAAAAATATAATTAGAACGTTCATGTTTGTTTTGCGATAAATCGCTTATGAAGGTTGCTGAAAGCTAAATTATGTCTTATATGTGGTGGAGTTATCAGCGGATGCGAAGATAGTTGGGATGCACCATATCGAAATCGAAAAATGTAAAAACCATTTGATTTTGGCGAAAGAGGGGTGAGTCACTTTTCGTTTCAACAAAAATTCCATTTGCGTCTGAGGAATGTACAAAGTGCCAAAGGGCTGATTGTAACTGGCTACGAAAATGAAACTAAAATTAAAAACAAAAAAGATTGGTGAAATAATGATTACTAAATTGGTACTAATTTCTACCCTACCTGCGTCTCCCATCACCTCTCGACTAGACCTAGAATTGAAACTTTAGGCATCCAAATTTTTGGTTTAAATTCAAAATTGTAGGACATTTAACAGTTTAACTTTGAAATTCCAAAATCAAATGCTTTGAAACCTTGCGAATATAACAATTTAATTTCTCAATTTTTAGAATTTTCAATTTTTCGACCTTTCGATTTCTTGAATTTTCCACTGTTGATTTCTGAATTTTTAGATATTTCCGTTTTCGAAAAATAGAAAAAACATATCGAATCTTCAAATTTTCAGATTTCTCGATTTCAAGATTTCTTCATTTTCCATTTTTCTAAGTAATTAAAAATAAATAAACTTTCAATTTTTCGATTTCTCGTTTAATTGCTTTAATTATTATTTCTTAAGTAAAAATGAAACAAAGTGAAATAAATAGCATTTATTAAAAAATATCACATCTATTTTCCAGGCAAGAGTTCCAGTTTCGGGTTCAGTTCCATGTGTAGAGTGGCGGTCAATGGTAGAGAGTCCGTGACGAAAACTGGGTTTCGTATTAAATTCTCTGCAAGATTTTCACTAAAATACCTTAAATCATCTCCCCTCTAATTTTACCATCAATAGGATATTTTGAATCGTCAATTCTTCGTCGTTTTTTCTTCAAAATTATCACCACCACAATAATGGCTACTAAAATTGTAACTATCACACCTAGAGCTGCAGGTATTAACACCTTCAGTGGAGTATTGATGATGGTCCTTAAACAAAAAAATTAATGCTAGCATATAAACATAACCTACACTAACCTGATCACAGGAATGTCGCTGAAAATACCCCCACAATCCTCAGCAACACAGTTTTCCACACAAGTTGTGTTGTCAGTACAAAGTGAAAGAACAGACTTCAGAATACACCTATTATTCATAGCTTCATAGTCTCGAGGACAGTCACGATAAAGACACAGAGCGCGACAAATCGGAACACATTTGTCTTCAGAGTCTGTTCCAAACCCATCGTTACACTTACAAGTGTTGGGTTTGACACAGTAACCATTTAAACAAGTGTTATTACAAACAGGATTACACTTAAATTTATCGTTAACAACTGGCACATACCCCTCATTACAAGTACAAGTGTTTGGTGAGCTACATTCAGCATTTACACAATCTTTGCTACATACAGGGTTACAACGATATTTGTTTGTGTTATCTTTGGCGAAACCAGGAGAACATGAACATGTTTCAGGGGCGGAACACTTGCTGTTAATGCACGGTTCGCTACAAATGGGGTTGCAAATGTTCTTGTTTAAAGAATCTGTGCTGAAGCCAGGATTGCAGGAACATGTTTCGGGTAATGTGCATTTGCCGTTTATGCAAGGGTTGGTACACACAGGATTACATAAATATTTATCTTTGGAATCTTTAGTAAAATACGACTTACAAGAACACGTTTCTGGAGCTGTGCATTCACCGTTCACACAAACTTTCGAACATATCGGTTTACATAAATATTTATTTTGAGAATCTTTGGTGAAACCAGAGTCACAAGAACATATTTCTGGTGCGGTACACTTGCTGTTTGTACAAGCTTTACTGCATACAGGATTGCACAAATATTTGTTGTTCGGATCTTTCGCGAAACCCCGATTACAAGAACATGTATCTGGGGCACTGCACATACTGTTTATACACTTTCTTGTACATATTGGATTACACAAAAATCTATTTTTGGAATCTTTGTAAAATCTTGAATTACAAGAACACGTTTCTGGTGCTGTGCATTTACTGTTTATACAGGGTTTAGAACATACTGGAATACAAAGATACTTATTTGTCCGATCTTTCACAAAGCCGCCGTAACAAGAGCATGTTTCTGGTGCTGAACATTTACTATTTACACATGTTCTAGTACAAACAGGATTACATAGATATTTATTTAACAGATCTTTAGAAAATCCCGAGTTGCAAGAACACATTTCTGGTGATGTGCATTTACCGTTTACACAGGGTTTAGAACATACTGGATTACAAAGGTACTTATTTGTCGGATCTTTCACAAAGCCGCTGTTACAAGAACATGTTTCTGGTGCTGAACATTTACTATTTACACATGTTCTACTACAGACAGGATTACACAAATATTTATTTTTCGGATCTTTTGAAAATCCCCCATTACAAGAACATGTTTCTGGAGCTGTGCATTTACTGTTTACACAAGGTTTAGAACACAGAGGATTGCAAAAATATTTATTTCCTGCATCTTTCGCAAAACCATTGTTACAAGAACATATTTCCGGGGCTGAACATTTACTGTTTACACAGGATTTGGAGCATACAGGATTACAAAGATACTTATTTGTCGGATCTTTCGCAAAGCCGTCGTTACAAGAACATGTTTCTGGTGCTGAACATCTACTATTTACACATGTTCTACTACAGACAGGATTACATAGATAATCATTGCGCGGATCTTTCGCAAAACCATTATTACAAGAACATGTTTCTGATGCTGAACATTTACTGTTTACACATGTTCTACTACAAACAGGATTACATAGATATTTATTTTGTAGATCTTTAGAAAATCCAGTGTTACAAGAACACATTTCTGGTGCTGTGCATTTGCTATTTACACAAGTTTTAGTACAAACGGGATTACAGACGTACTTATTTTTGGGATCCTTAGAAAATCCTGCATTACAAGAACATGTTTCTGGTGCTGAACATTTGCTATTTACACAAGTTTTGGCACAAACAGGATTACATAGATATTTATTTTTCGAATCTTTGGAAAATCCAGTATTGCAAGAACACGTTTCTGGTGACGTACAATTACTGTTTATACAGGGTTTAGAACATACAGGTTTGCAAAGATATTTTTTCCCAACATCTTTTGCAAAACCACTGTTACAAGAACATGTTTCTGGTGCTGAACATTTACTATTTACACAAGTTTTGATACAAACAGGATTACATAGATATTTATTTTTGGGATCCTTCGAAAATCCTGTATTACAAGAACATGTTTCTGGAGCCGTGCATTTACTGTTCGTACAAGGTTTAGAACATACAGGATTGCAAAGATATTTATTCGCAGCATCTTTTGCAAAACCATTGTTACAAGAACATGTTTCTGGTGCTGAACATTTACTATTCACACAGGTTTTAGTACAAACAGGATTGCACAGATACTTATTTTTCAGATCTCTTGAAAATCCTGCATTGCATGAACATGTCTCTGGTGCGGTACATTTGCTATTAACACAAGGTTTAGTACAAACAGGATTACACAGATATTTATTTTCGCGATCCTTCGAAAATCCTGCATAACAAGAACATGTTTCTGGAGCTGTGCATTTACTGTTCATGCAAAGTTTAGAACATACAGGATTGCAAAGATATTTATTCGCAGCATCTTTTGCAAAACCATTGTTACAAGAACATGTTTCTGGTGCTGAACATTTACTATTTACACATGTTTTAGTACAAACAGGATTACACAGATAATTATTTTCGGAATCCTTCGAAAATCCTGTATTACAAGAACATGTTTCTGGAGCCGTGCATTTACTGTTCATGCAAGGTTTAGAACACACAGGATTGCAAACATATTTATTGGCCGCATCTTTCGCGAAACCACTGTTACAAGAACATGTCTCCGGTGCTGAACATTTACTATTTACACAAGTTTCACTACAAACAGGATTACACAGATATTTATTTTCGGAATCCTTCGAAAATCCTGTATTACAAGAACATGTTTCTGAAGCCGTGCATTTACTGTTCATGCAAGGTTTAGAACACACAGGATTGCAAACATATTTATTCGCCGCATCTTTCGCAAAACCACTGTTACAAGAACATGTCTCCGGTGCTGAACATTTACTATTTACACAAGTTTCACTACAAACAGGATTACACAGATATTTATTTTTGGAATCCTTCGAAAATCCTGTGTTACAAGAACATGTTTCTGGAGCCGTGCATTTACTGTTCGTACAAGGTTTAGAACATACAGGATTGCAAAGATAATTATTCGCCGCATCTTTCGCAAAACCACTGTTACAAGAACATGTCTCCGGTGCTGAACATTTACTATTTTCACAAGTTTCACTACAAACAGGATTACACAGATAATTATTTTCGGAATCCTTCGAAAATCCTGCATTACAAGAACATATTTCTGGAGCCGTACATTTACTGTTCATGCAAGGTTTAGAACACACAGGATTGCAAAGATATTTATTCGCCGCATCTTTCTCAAAACCACTGTTACAAGAACATGTCTCCGGTGCTGAACATTTACTATTTACACAAGTTTCACTACAAACAGGATTACACAGATATTTATTTTCGGAATCCTTCGAAAATCCTTCATTACAAGAACATGTTTCTGGAGCCGTGCATTTACTGTTCATACAAGTTTTAGAACATACAGGATTGCAAAGATAGTTATTCGCCGCATCTTTCGCAAAGCCACTGTTACAAGAACATGTTTCTGGTGCTGAACATTTACTGTTCACACACGTTTTAGTACAAACTGGGTTGCACAGATTCTTGTTTCTCGCGTCTTTGACATAACCTGTATTACAAGAACATATTTCTGGTTCCGTACACTTCGCGTTAACACAACCTTTACCACAAACCGGATTACAGTTGTACTTATTTTGGAGGTCTTTTTCAAAACCGGAATTACAAGAACATATTTCTGGTGCAGTACACTTACTGTTGACGCATAATGGGGAGCAAATGGGTTCGCAAAGGTACTTATCTTTGAAATTTATTGTATAGTTTGTGTTGCAGGTGCAGATTTCTGGTGATGTGCACCGGCCGTTGATGCACGGTTTGGAACATTTAGGGATACACAGGTACTTGTTTTTGACGTCTTTGGTATATCCTGGGTTGCATGAGCAAGTTTCAGGGGCTGTACATTTTCCGTAGACGCATTCTTTTGAACAGTGGGGAATGCAGTGGTTCTTGCTGAGTTCCACGTAACCTTTGCAACATTCGTTTGTCACAACGTCGTCAGTGTATATCTAGAAAACTATTTAAGAGAAGATTTAATTTTTTTTTGTAAAACTTACTTCGAGCCGATAGTAGTTGTAAGGGACAGGGGGACAGTATGCCCGATAATATGGTGCACAAGATGGATTTTGAATCATATAGGTGTATGGAACAAGTCGGCTTTTTTTTACTCTGGCGAAACGTTGTGTGTGAAATAAATAAATATTAAACGTTTTACTTACTTTGTCAATTTTGGACAGATGCCATTTTTTTGTTGCTGGCTGAAATTTGCACACAACGTAACCGCAATCAAAATTATAATTTGAACGTTCATGTTGATAAATCGCTAATGAAGGTTGCTGAAATCTAAATTATGTCTTATATGTGGAGGAGTTATCAGCGGATGCAAAGATATTTGGGATGCACCATATCGAAATCGAAAAATATAAAAACAAATTAATTTTGGCGAAAGAGAGGTGAGTCGCTTTTCGTTTCAACAAAAATTCCATTTGTGTCTGAAGAATGTACAAAGTGCCAAAGGGCTGACTGTAACTGGCTACGAAATTGAAACGAATCGCTAAAATTGAAAACAAAGAAAAATTATAATACTAATTCCTACCTTACCTGCGTCTCCCATCACCTCTCGACTAGAGCTATGTCTAGGATCTTGTGGTTTTCCGTTTCCATTTGTCTGTCGTCTGGGTCAATTTTTATTAAATAGATAATCTCCGAAACCACTAAATCTTCATCTTCAAATTTTATTTAAAATCCAAGATTGTATGACATTTTTTATTGAAATTTTGCAAACGTTTTACGGTTATTGGAAGCATGGTAATTTGTTAATCAAAATTTATCTGTTCATGCCTCCCCCAGGGATTGTTCATGCCATTTTATAGTTTTGTGAATAAATGTTATTTAAATGTTAAAAAGTAACAGGTCTGAAATTGTGATTTATGAATCCGTGTTGAATTTTTATCCTAGACGTCGAGATTTTTGGGAACAATTCAACATTATAAATATAAGAATTTTTTCAACTTTCGGTTTTTCAATTTCAATTTTTGACGTTTATAAATACTCAATTTTTCGATTTCTCAATTTCTCGTTTAATTAATTTTTTGATTTTTCCATTGATCGATTTCCTGAGTTTTCAATGTTTCAATTTTTCAGTTTTTCAATAGTTCATTTTTCGATTTTCAAGTTTTTGACTTTCCAATTTCTCAAATTTTTGTTTTTCCAATTCTCAATTTTTCGATCTCTCAGTTTTTGGATTTTTCAATGTTTCGATTCTTAAATTTTTCAATCATATGGTGTTTCATTTTACGGTTTTTCTGTTTTTTCATTCTTCAAGTTTTCTATTTTCAGTTTTTTGATTAATTAGTTTTTCGATACTTCAGTGCTAGGATTTTTCAATTTTTCGTTTCAATTTCTCAAATGTTCAAATTTAAAATTTTTCGATTTCTCGATTTCTTGGTTTTTCTATTTCTCAATTTTCGATTTTTCAATTTTTGACGTTCCTAAATATTCAATTTCTTGTTTAATTAGTTTTTCATTTTCCGATTTCTCGATTTCGCAACTGTTCAGTGTTTGGATTTTTCAATTTTTCGATTTTTCTGATTCTTCAATTTCTCAATTCTTCAAAATTTCAAATTTTTTATTTCTGGATTTTTTCCTGTAGATTTCTCAATTTTCCATTGTTTCAGTTTTAACATTCAATTTTTACTGTTTCTAAATTTTAAAATTTCTCATTTAATTAATTTTTTGATTTTCCCATTGCTCGACTTCTAGACTTAGTTTTCATTTTCAGTTTTTTAAATGTTCAATTTTTCTATTTTTTACATTTTTTGATTTTCAGGTTTTAGATTTTGTCCATTTTTGGACTTCAATTTTTGACTTGTCGATTTCTCGATATTTAATTTTCCGAATTCTCAAGTTTTGCATTTTTCAATTTTCGATTCTTAAATTTTTCTCCTATTTTTTAATCCATTGAAGTTTCAGTTTAGTTTTTTTATTCTTCAGTTTTCCGATTTTTCAATTTCTCGATTTTCCAATATTTCAGTGCTAGGATTTTCGATTCTTCAATTTCTCAATTCTTGGCGTTCAAAATGATTCTCAATTTTTGGACTTCTTAATTTTTCTATAAATTGATTTTTGATTTTCAGATTTCACGATATCTGCACTTTTCGATGTTTCGATTTCTGAGTTTCTCAATTCTTTAATTTTTTGATTTTTCAATTTTATGATTCTTCAATTATTCTTCTATTTTTCAATTTTTTGATATTTCACTTTTTAACGTTCTTAAATTCTCGATTTTTGATTTTTTATTTCTCGTTTATTCGATTTTTTGATTTTCCCATTTCTGGATTTCTTGACTTTTCAATGTTTCAACTTTCAGTTTTCTCAATTTTCTTTCTTCTTTCTTTCTGGATTTTTCAATTTTTCGATGTTTCACTTTTGGATTTTTTCAGTTTTTAATTCTTCATTATTTCGATTTTTCAGTTTCTCGTTGTTCAATTTTTCGATTCTGCAATTTCTCAATTCTTCAAAATTTCAAATTTCCGATTTCTCGATTTTCTTTTCGAATTTTCATTTTTTTTTATTCTTCAATTTTTCGATTATCGAATTTTTCGATTCCCGACGTTTCTAAATTTTCGATTTTTTGATTTCTAATTTCTCATTTTTTAATTTTTTCCATTTGTCGATTTCACAACTTTTCGATGTTTCGACTTTGAATTTTTCAATTCTTATGTCTTCTTTTTTTTTCTCTTGAGTTTTCAATTTTTCGCTCTTCAGGCTTTTGATTTCTAAATGTTTAGATTTTTCTACTTCTCGATTTTTCACTTTTTCGAGTTTGTGGTTTTTGATTTTTCAATTTTTAGATTTTTCGACTTCTCATTTTTTTAATTTTTCGATATTTCAATTTTGGATTTCCCCATGTTTTCGATTTTTTAATTCCTCAGTTGTTCAATTCTTAGGTACTCAATGTTTCGATTCTTCAATTTCAAAATTTCAAATTTTGAATTTCTCGATTTCTTCATTTTCGATTCTTCAATCTTTTGATTTTTAAATTTTTCGATTTTTTAATTTTTGACGATGCTAAATTTTCAATCCTTTGAATACTCAATTTCTGGTTTAATTAATATTTGATTTTCCCATTTCTCAATATATTAACTTTTCAGTGTTTCTATTTTCAGTCACTCAATTTTTCAATTTTCGAGTTTCATAGTTTTGATTTTGCAATTTTGCAATTTTTCAATTTTTCGACTTCGATTTTTCGACTTCTCGATTTCTCGATGTTCAATTTTTCGATTCTTCAATTTTCTTCTATGTTTCAGTTTTGGGTTTTTCATTTTTTTTTTAATTTTTCGATTTCCAATTTCTCGACTTTTCGATTTCCCGATTTTTTGCTTATTTGTTTTTCAATTTATCGATTTTTTTTATATTTTATTGTTTCAATTTATCGTTTGTTTTATTTTAGAGTTTTCAATTTTTTCGATTTGCCGACTTTTTGATTTCTCGGTCTTATGGTATTTTGATTTTTCGATGTTTCAGTTTTTGAATTTTCCAATTTCTCGGTTTTTGATGCCTCGATTTTTCGATATTTCGATTTTTCAATTTTTCGATTTTCCAGTTTTTCAGTTTCTCAATTCAATTTTGGATTTTCAATTTCTCGATTTCTCAGTTTTTGGATTCTTCTTTTCTTCGATATTTCTATTTTTCAATTTTTCGAATTTTAAAAATTTTCATGTTACAGTTTTTTAGTTTTTCTATTTTTCAATTTTTTAAATTTTATATTTTCGATTTTACGATTTTTTGGTATCTCGAGATCTCGGTTATTCGATTTTAAAAATTTTCCGACTTCGAATTTTGGAAATTTTTGGATTTTTCAGGTTTTATTACTTTAGTTTTTCGATTTTTTGATGTTTTGTTTTGTTTATTGCTTAAAAAAATCTTAGGAACAGTACTCCAATGTTTTATTATTAGTATTACACTGCTCGTGTCGGAATTGACATAGGTGCCCTTCCTGAAATAATGTCAGAAATCTCGCTAGAAACACAGCATAACCTCGCCCTCGATCAATGCATTCATATTTCTGCACGTTAATGAATCAGAAAAACAACCTTCGACCAATTTCTGCTTTCAACATATCTTGAATGCAATCTATGCACAATTTTGCGCATATTTTCAATATAAGCGAATTATGAACTTTCAAGCTCGATTGAAACTCGCTAGAGTGGTGCTCTGTAGAAAATTACTCTCCATTGCACCGGTAAAATCAATTTATTATTGTCCATAACTGCAAAGCTCGATATCATAATCAACTTTTTCCAGGAAGCGAGCGTTGGCGCCGATAATTAAATCTGGAACGTTCTTATATGCAGCATATATGATTCATTTATAGATTAAAAAAATCCGGCTCGGAATTTTCAAACACACATGGCCATTGGAACCCGAACGAGTGGAAGCTTGAGCTTTTAAATTATTAGTGCATAAATTAATTTGTACTGGACATAAAACAAAAGACGAATTTGATGCGTGTCCACCGATGCACGACGGATAAATGCAGGTGTTTTCTATTGAAAGGAATTCCAGAAGCGTGAATTTGGTGGTATTGTTAAAGCGTAATACTGAAAGCCTGAAAACCTGTGTAACAGTGTGGAATGGACTAGGTTTATAATCAATAAACTGTGCTTCTACAACTACTATATTTTTTGGTACAACACACATTTAGAAAAAGGTTCATTCCATGAACCACACCACTCCTTCCTACTTAGTTCTCGATCTGCTCAGGAATCAGCTCAAAATGCATCAGCGGCGACCTCTTCAGCCTCCTCACGCACCTATTGCTCCCCTTCGCCTCCTTAACGAACCCAGGATTACAAATACAGAAGTTGGGGGCGGTACAAGAACCATTTTCGCATCCTCCGGGACAGTGAGCGACGCATCGGTTGCTCTGAGGGTTCGTCGGGTCCACGACGTACCCTTTCTTGCAAGTGCAGGTATTGGGGGCAGTGCACTCCGCGTTGAGACAAGGGTCCCGGCAATGGGGCTCGCAAATTGTACCCGTTTTATCCAGGGTCCATCCAGATTCGCAACTACAGACACCCGGACCCGTACAACGCCCGTTCTTGCATCCACGCGGACACTCAGCCACGCAGGAGTTTTGAACCATTTTGAACCCAGGCTTGCAGGAGCATTTGTTGGGGCCGATGCACGTGCCGCCCCCACAGCCGCCTTCGCAGTGGTATTCGCATTTGTTGGTGTTGCGGCTCAGGGAGAAGCTGGAACAAAATGTCACAAAGTCAGTATCATGGTGGCACAAAATCAATAACTTAACGGGGGCGTCTGCTTCGATTTTAGCATTTTACTAAAGTCTATTCTGTCATTTCCAAATTTTACAAGAGTACATTTTTTCTTTAATTTTATAAAATAACATACTCCACTTGTGGTTTATGATTGGGCCTTGAGTTTTCACCATAGGCATCATTTGGAGGAAAAATCAAAATTGTATAATACATTTTACAATTTAACTTTGAAATTGCAAAATTGAATGCTTTGAAATCATGCAGACGTTTTAAATCATTAATCAAAATTCGTATTCTAGACATCGAGATTTCTGAAAAAAATCAAAATTTTATAACAATTTTTAATATTTTTTTTCGATTTCTCAGGTTCCTGCTTCTTCAATTTTTCAATTTTTTAAATTTTAGATGTTTCTACTTTTCGATTTTTCAATGTTTCAGTTTTGGAATTTTTCAATTTTTTTATTTATCGATTTAACAGTTTTTCGATATATCTTTCTGTTTTGGTAGTTTTCAATCTTTCGATTTTTCAATTTTTCGATATTTTAATTTTTGGAATGTTTAAGTTTTAGATTTTTCAGTATAGCGATTTTTCAGTTTTTTCATTCTTCAGTTTACGTTTCTTCAGATTTCCTAAATTTTCGACTTTTCGATTTATCAATTTCTCGATTTTTCAATTTTTCGATTTCTCGATTTTCAGACTTTTTGAATTATCGATTTTTCCGTACCTTGAGTAACTATTTGTCAATTTTTTACAATATTTAAATTTTAGATTTTTCAATTTTTCAATTTTTTTGGATTTCTGGATTTTTAAACTTTTCGATTAATTGATCTTTTGATTATCCTATTTCTCGATTTCTCAATGTTCGATTTCTCGCTTTTTTAGTTCTTCAATTATTCAATTTATTGATTTTCTTATTTTTCTTTTCGATTTCTAAGGTTTTTGATTCTTCAATGGTTCTATTTATTAAATTTTCAATTTTTTGATTTTTTGATTTTTCAGAACCTCGATTTTCCTTTTTGTCAATTTTCGCAATTTTTAAATTTTAGATTTTCCAATTTTTCGATACTTCGATTTTTCGATCTTTCGATTTTCGACTTCACGGTTTTAGATTTTTCAATTTTGTGATTTTTAAAAGTTTTGTTCTTTCGAGTTTTCAATTTTTCGGTTCATACTCAATTTTTCAGTTTTACGATTTCTCGATTTTTAGACTTTTCGATTAATCGATTTTTTTCGTTTTCCCCAATTTCTCAAGTTCTCGACTTTTTTCGATTTTCCATTTTTTTCAATTTCTCAGGTTTTTAATTCTTCAATTTTTCGATTTTTTTATTTTAGATGTTCGATTTAACACTACATATATTTCAGTTTTGGTATTTTTTGATATTTCGACTTTTTCAATCCTTTTTCGATATTTTAATTTTTCGATTGTTTGAATTTTATATTTTTCGATTCCTCGATTTTCCAGTTCTCCCATTTATCCATTTATCAAGTGCTTCAATTTTTTTATTTCTTGTTGTTTCGATTTTTCGACTACTTGGTTTAGATTTTTCAATTTGGAGATTTTCAAAGTTTTTGATTTTTGACTTTAGATTTTTCAATCACTTCATTCTTCAGGGTTTCTATCCATCAGATTTCCGATTTTTAAATTTTTCGATTTTTAGCGAAATTTCAACTTTTCGATTTCTCGATTAATCAATCAATTTTTCGATTTCTCGAGTTCTCGACTTTTCAATGTTCCGATTTTCCAATTTTTTTGATTTCTCAGGTTTTTGATTATTCAATTTTTCGATTTTTTAAATTTTAATTTTTCGATTTTAATTAAAAGTTTCAATTTTTCGATTTTTTAATATTTTAATTTTTCGATTGTTTAAATTTTAGATTATTCGATTTCTCGATTTTCCAGTTCTTCCATTTTTCCACTTTTGTCAATTTTTGGAATTGTTAATTTTAGGTTTTTTAATTTGTTGATGTTTCGTTTTAATGAGTTTTCGATTTTTTTTTTGGTTCAGATCTTTCAATTTAGAGATTCTTTAAATTTTTGATTTTTTGAGTTTTCAATTTTTCGGTTTTTAACTTTTTATTCGACTTCCCGATTTATAGAGATTTCGAAGTTTCTACTTTTCGATGGTTCAATTTCCAGATTTGTCAATTTTTCAATTTTCGGATTTTTCGATTTATCGATTTTTTAAATTTGAGATTTTTCAATTTCTTAATTATGTAATAATTTTTAGATTTTGCACTAGATTTCGATTTCTCAATTTTTTGATTTTTCGATTCATAGATTTTTGGATTTTCCCATTTCTCGAGTTCTCGACTTTTCGATGTCTCAATGGTTCGATTTTTCAATTTTTCAATATTTTAATTTTTTTATTGTTTAAATTTTAGATTTTTCGGATTCTAGATTTTCCAGTTCTTTGATTTTTTCCATTTTGTCAAGTTTTCCAAATTCTTAATTTTCGATTTTTCGATTTATTTTGCTTTCGATTTTTCGACTACTTGGTTCAGATCTTTCAATTTAGAGATTCTTTAAATTTTTTATTTTTTGAGTTTTCAATTTTTCGGTTTTTTACATTTTATTCGACTTCTCGATTTATAGAGATTTCGAAGTTTCTACTTCTCAATGATTCAATTTCCAGATTTGTCAATTTTTCAATTTTCGGATTTTTGGATTTATCGATTTTTTAAATTTGAGATTTTTCAATTTCTTAATTATGTAATAATTTTTAGATTTTGTACTAGATTTCGATTTCTCAATTTTTCGATTTTTCGATTCATAGATTTTTGGATTTTCCCATTTCTCGAGTTCTCGAATTTTCGATGTCTCAAAGCTTCGATTTTTCCATTTTTCAATATTTTAATTTTTTTATTGTTTAAATTTTAGATTTTTCGAATTCTAGATTTTCCAGTTCTTTCATTTTTTCCATTTTGTCAAGTTTTCCAAATTCTTAATTTTCGATTTTTCGATTTATTTTGCTTTCGATTTTTCGACTACTTGGTTTAGATCTTTCAATTTGGAGATTCTTTAAATTTTTGATTTTTAAATTATTGAATTTTCCGGTTTTTAAATTTTCCAATTGTTCAGTTTTTCGATTTCTGGATTTATTGAGATGTCGATGTTCCGACTTTTCCATGGTTCAATTTTCCGATTTTTTCATTTCTTCATTTTTTAATTTTTGGATTTTTGTTTTTTTTTAATTTAAAATTTTTCAATTTCTTAATTATGTAATAATTTTTAGATTTTGCACTCTATTTTGATTTTTTCACGACTTTTCGATGTTCGAGTTCTCGATTTCTCGAATTTTTACCTTAGATATTTAATTTTTCAATTTTTCGATTTTCCAATTTTTTTTTCTCAGGTTCTTCATTCCTCAATTTTTCGAATTTCTAATTTTGAATTTTTCGATTTACTTGATTTAGATTTTTCTTTGAAAAATGATAAATTATTTTTGTTATTTTTGCTTTCTGATAACCGAAAAACCGAAAAAAACGAGAAATTGAGAAATTACTGAATTTTCGAAAAATTGGGAAATCGAAAAATTCAAAGATCAAAACATCGAAAAATCAAAAAACCGATAAATCGCAAAATTGAAACATTGAGAAACATTAAAATCGGGAAGTCGAAAAATCCGAAAATTGAAAAATTAAAAATCCGGAAATTGAACCATCGAAAAACTAAACAATTGAAAAATTTGTAATTTGTTTTAAAAACTCAAAAAATCAAATATTTTAAAAATCCTCAAATTGAAAAATCTTAAGCAAGTAGTCCAAAAATCAAAAGATTAAGAAATCGAAACATCAAAGAATTGAAAGATCTACTAAAATAAAAAAATTGGAAAATTTGACAAATGGAAAAATGCAAGAACTGGAAAATCGGGAGATCGAAAAATCTAAAATTTTTTAAACAATCGAAAAATTGAAAAATCCAAAGATTGAAACAGCAAAAAAATCGAAAAATAGAAATTTTGAAAAATACCAAAATAAACATCGAAAAAATGTTAAACAGATAAATAAAAAAATGGAAAACTTCCAAAACTGAAACATTGAAAAATCGAAAAGTAAAAACATCTAAAATTTAAAAAATCGAAAAATTGAAGAACCAAAAACCCGAGAAATCGAAAAATATTGGAAAATCGAAAAATTGAAAAATGGAACTTTTAAAAAATCGAGAAGTCGAGAAATCATACATCGAAAAGTCAAGAACTCGAGAAATGGAAAAATAAAAAATCGATGGATCGAAATGTCTCAAAATTGAGGAATCCAAAAATCGAGAAATCAAAAAACCGACAAATCGAAAAATTGAAATATTGAGAAATGAAACATAAAAATCGAGAAATCGAAACAAAACATTGAGAAATTGAAATAGTGCAAAATCGAAAAATTATCACATAATTTAGAAATTGAAAAATTTTTAATTTAAAAATCGATAAATCGAAAACTCCGAAAATTGAAAAATAGAAAAATCGAAAAATTGAAAAACTGAAATAGTGCAAAATAGAAAAAATTAAATTAAAAAAAATCGATTAATCGAAAAATCGGAAAACTGAAATTTACTATGTTTCAGTTTCCCGATGTTTCGATTTATCGATTTGTTAAATTAAATTTTCAATTTTTAAATTACGTAATAATTTTTCGAAACATTTCAAAAGCGAAAAATTGAAAATTCGAAAAATCAAAAATTTTAAAAATCTACAAATTGAAAATTTGAAAGCAAGTAGTCATAAAATCGAAAGATCAAGAAATCGAATATCAAAAAGTTTAAACATTTAAAATTAAAAAATTGGAAAAATTGGCAAACTATGGAAAAATTAAAACATGGAAAAACTGAAAAAGCGAAGGATTGAAAAATCAAAAATTCAAAAAATCGAAAAAACTAAAATTGAAAAAAATAATAATAATAATAATAATAATAATAATATGTATTTAATGTCGAAAAAGATACAAAATCCATAAGACGACATATCGAAAATAGAACTAAACATGTGCAAACTAATTACAAAAAAAAGAAATACATAAAAACTAAAAATAATTAATCCATACAACTTAAAGATTTTTCAGGTAGCTGTTTAAAGAAGATAAAGTTACATTAAAAAAGTCCAGATAATTTGAAATTTTGTTTATAGATCTAACTATATTATCCATAGGTGCATGAAACGTAAAATTAGTACGATGAAATCTAGGTATAAAAGTTTCAGAGCAACGAGAACCTAATCTAGGTACTCTAATATCAAACAACATAACTAGGCCAGGGCAGTCAATGCAATTCTGGAACAACTTATAACCCAAACGAATTTCAGCTTTTTGTTTTCTACTCTCCAGTAGTTCCAGGTTTACAAGTACAAGCCTTTGGTCATAGCTATAATTATCCTTATTTATTCCCATTTTAAAAAGTAGGTAATTGACAAACTTACGTTGTACTCTTTCAAGACGATCAACGTGGGTTTTATAAAATGGGAACCAAATAACAAAACAATATTCAAGAATCGGTCTAACTAAAGTTACAAACAATTTGTGTAGACAACTAATATCCCAAAAATCAATAGACTGACGTTTGATAAAGCCACAAGTTCGAAATGACTTATTCAGAACAAAATCAAAATGACTAGCAAATCGTAGCTCTGAATCTAAGATTACACCCAAGTCGTTGATTTCAGAAACGCGTTCGAGAGTAACATTATTCAAAGTATATGGAAACACAATACAGTTAGATCTACGGGTAAATGTTATAACCTTACATTTATCAGTGTTTACTCCCATAGAGTTGTTAACGCACCAAGAACTAATGATTTCTAGTTTATTTTGAAGTAAATGACAGTCGTTAATACTAGAAATTCTACCAAAAATCGAAATATTCAAAAATACTAAAACTGAAATACATATCGAAAAACTGTAATATCGATAAATCAAAAAACTGAAAAATTCCAAAACTGAAACACTGGAAAAATGAGACATTGAAAAATCGAAAGGTAAAAACATCTGAAATTTAAAATATCGAAAATTTGAACAATCAAAAACCTGAGAAATAAAAAACAAGGAAAATTAAAAAATCGGAAAATCAAAAAACTGACAAATCGAAAAATTGAAATATTGAGAAACGAAACAAAAAATTGAGAAATTGAAATAATGCAAAATCGAAAAATTATTATATAATTTAGAAACTGAAAAATTTTTAATTCAAAAAATCGATAAATCGAAAACTCCGAAAATTGAAAAATAGAAAAATCGGGAAATTGGACCATCGAAAAGTCGAAACATCGAAATTTTGATAAATCGAGAAATTGAAAAATTTGAAAACCGATAAATCAAAAAAAAAAAACATTGAAAAATCTAAACATAAAAATCGAGAAATCGAAAAATTGAAAAACTGAAATAGTGCAAAATATAAAAAATTAAATTTAAAAAATCGATAAATCGAAAAATCGGAAAACTGAAATTTACTATTTTTCAGTTTTCCGATGTTCCGATTTTTTAAATTAAATTTTGCAGTTTTTAAATTACCTAATAATTTTTCGAAACATTTCAAAAGCGAAAAATTGAACACTTGAAAAATCAAAAATTTTAAAAATCTACAAATTGAAAATTTTAAAGCAAGTAGTCAAAAAATCGAAAGATCAAGAAATCGAATATCAAAACATTGAAAAATTTTAAATTAAAAAATTGGAAAAATTGGCAAACTATGGACAAATTAAAACATGGAAAAACTGAAAAAACGAAGGATTGAAACATCAAAAATTCAAAAAATCGAAAAAACTAAAATTGAAAAAAATCGAAAAATTCAAAAATACTAAAACTGAAACACATCGAAAAACTGTTAAATCGATAAATCAAAAAACTAAAAAATCGAAAAATTGAAACATTGAGAAATTGAAACACAAAAATGGAGAAATCGAAAAATTGAAAAATTCAAATAGTGCAAAATTAAAAAAAAATACATAATTGAGAAAACGAAAAATATTAACTTTAAAAAATCGACAAATGGAAAGATCCGAAAATTGAAAAAAAAATTTTACTCCAGGCAGCTTTGCTCGACTGCCTTTCAGAGACGAGGAAAATTCTTTCTAAATAACTCTAGATCAAACATTGTTTAAATTTATTTGATTCTAATAATTTTAAAGGAGAAAGTATGAAGTTTATACGACTTTCAGATTTAAAGCTTTTTAGAAATACTAAGCAATATGAAAAAAGTTTTAAAATTTCTCGAAACCAATATAAAAAAAAAAAGATTCTGAAATTTTCAAAATTCAGAAGGTATAAATTTCAGGTGAATCAAGAGAAAATTTTTTCAAGTTCGCAAATTTCTTTCTCTGAAAGACGTTGCAAATTTTGTCAAAAAACTTAATCATTACGTATTTAAATGGGAATTTTAAATTCGATTATACTGACTATGCTTATTAGTGCTTTGAATCGTACTTATTAGAATCGAAAATACAAAGTGTCAAATTATTAATAACAATTTTCTTCGTATTATGGAGAATTTTTTCACGGCTATGCAACCAGTAATACACCACTCTTACCCCGTTCGACACCGGCAAGACTCGGCTCCCACGCATTCGCCTCCAGGTCCGCACCCGCCCGTACACACTGGAGTACAGAACTTCCCGTCTGGACTGGACTGGAACCCTGCATTACACGAACAAATCCCACCGGTGGTACAGACGCCGTTCAGGCACCCAATGGGACACGTCGGGATGCAATTCCCGAGGACGTCTTTGACGTAGCCACGTCTGCAGCTGCACACGTTGGGTGCCGTGCAGTTACCATTGGGACACCCGTTGTCACACACTGGCTCGCACTCGAAATGGGTGTGGGGCTTGCGGGCCCATCCTGAGCAACAAATGTCGATTTTGCTGAAGCCGGGTCTGGTCTAAAAAAATACAGTATCGTAAGGATATTTTTTATTTCATAGAAAAAATATATTGCTTACACCGTTTCCTTCTGGTCGCACCCCTGAGGCGCGATCTTCGGGACTAATCAGGTCAATGGTTCTAGAAAATACATCATATTTTAATTTAGCTCGGCATTGAAGCAGCAGCTACTTAATATGTATATGATGACCACACAAGGTCAAATCATGGGAACTATAACCACATAACATGTATAAATAACAGCAATCCGTTTTAAGTTAGGTAAATCGAATTAAATAAAACATATTTACAAAAAAACTACGCTTTTATAAAAGTCGCTACATGGCACTAAGACAGAATTAAAACAAATGAAGCAAGTTCAGTACTAAAGTGACTTAAAATCGTACTTACGGGACTTCTAGGGTGCATACTCCTGCTCTGGATGCGTTTACACCCTTGAGGCTTGGGTAAAGTCCTTTATTTGGAGCAACTGTATTGGCAGATGTTGAAACAAACAAAATTGCAGCGATAAGCAACAACCGAAACGCTCTGTTTGGCAACATTGTTGGATCTTGACTGGTGACTAAGAGCTTAGAATGAAATCGTGAAAGTTATAGCATCAACGGATGTTTGATAGTCTTTATCTGACACTGTTTCTGGGTACAATTATCTCAACAATTAGGCAAAATGTTTTACAGTTTAGTATATTTAAAAATATTGGAACGAAAGTTTTTTTTAATAATCGTTCATCGAAGTGGCCGTTGCTTGGAATTATTTTTTCCGCAGAAATGTTTCGTAATGACTAATGAATTACAGTCCAGGCACGGATATCGCCTACGTCGTTTTAAAATAACTGAAATATTAAAGGAGTCGAGTTGGGTCCTTGTATGTACAGTGCTATATTTAGAGCTTTTTCAGGACAATGGATTATAAAAAGAGGACAAAAAAACGACAAATTTGGGACAAAAATACGACAATATGGAGGTTAAAAACGGCCAAAAATTTGGTCTAAAATTATTTAGACAGAATTTCCCTCAATTTTGAAATGCAGTCAAGCAAAGCTGCCTAGAGTAAAAATCAAGGCGGATACACAACCTACAAGTATAGGGGTATCTTATTTTATAAAATTTTAACTGTGTTTACTAAAAACGATTTGAGGGAACGTCATCAAATCGTTGGTGGGGCTGATTAAACGAAAAATCGAAACATCAAAAATTCGAAAAATTGAAAAATTCCGAAACATTCGAAAATTTAGGAACGCCAAATATTGAAAAATTGAACAATTTTAAAATTCGGAAATCTGAAGAATCGAAAAATTGAAAAATTCCAAAATTGAAACTTTAAAAAATCGAAAACAGAAGATTTAAAAAATCCAATAATTGAAGAATCAAAAACGTCAGAAATCGAAAAGAAAAATTGGAGAATCAATAAGTTGAAGAATTGAAGAACTGAAAAATTGAGATCTAGATTTGTTCGTGTTGAAAATAAAAAATCGATTAATCGAAAAGTCTAAAAATCGAAAAATCGAAAAACTGATTAATCGAGAAAGCCGAAAATTCGGAAATCTGAAAAATCGCAAAACTGAAAAATCCGAAATTTAAAAATTGCAAAAAATTGACAAATAGAACGATCGAGCTACTGAAAAATCGAGAAATATCTAAAATTTAAAAAATTGAAAAATTGTAAAAGTAAAAAATTCCAAAACTGAAACATTGAAAAACTCGAAAATTGTAAAAACTGAACATTTAAAAAATCGAATGATTGAAAAATCAAAAACCTGATAAATCGAAAAGAAAAATAGGAAAATCGATAAGTTGAAGAACTGAAAAACCGAAAAATCGAGAAATCGAGAAATGGGAAAATCAAAAGATCGATTAATAGAAAAGTCTAAAAATCAATAAATAAAATTGATAAATTGAAACTGAACCATCGAAAAATCGCAACATAGAAATCTTGATAAATCGAGAAATCGAAAAATTGACAAATCGAAAAACTGAAAAATTGAAAACTCGAAAAATCAAAAATTTTAAAGAATGCAAAATGGAAAAATAAAAAACCGAGAAGTCGAAAATAGAAGATCGAGAAATCGAACATTAAAAAAATGCGAAAATTGACAAAAAGAAGCATCGAAGAAGTGAAAAATCGAGACATCGAACAATAAAAAAAATCCAAAACTGAAAAAAATTGAAAATTTAAAAAATCGAACAATTGAAGAATCAAAAACCTGAGAAATTGAAAAGATAAATAGGAAAATCGATAAACTGAAGAATTGAAGAACAGGAAAACCAAAAAATTAAGAAGTCGAGAAGCTGATCATCGAAAATTTTTAAATTAAAAAATTATATTGAAAAATTAAGAAACCAAAAAAGTCCCAAAACTGAAACATCGAAAAACTGAGAAATGTAAAAATCGAAAATTGTAAAAATTGAAATTAAAAAAATCGAACAGTTAAAGAATCAAAAACCTGAGAAACCGAAAAGAAAAATAGGAAAATCGATAAATTGAATAACTGAAGAACAGAAAAACCGAAAAATGGAGAAATCGAGAAACTGAGAAATGGGAAAATCAAAAAATCGATAAATCGAAAAATTGACTAATCGAGTAAACGAGAAATCGAAAAGTCGAAAATTAAAAAAATTTTAAAAATTCGAAAATCTGAAGAATCGAAAACTGAAGAACGAAAAAATTGAAAATCGCAAAATTGAAAAATCTAAAATTTAAATATAAAAAATTGATAAACAGAACAATCGAGGTACTGAAAAATCGAGAAATCGAAAAATTTTAAATATAAAAAATCGAAAAATTGGAGAATCGAATCATTGAAACATCAAAAAATCAGGACATCGATGAACTTTTAATCGATAATTAAAAAAATTGAAAAATTCCAAAACTGAAACATTGCAAAATTGAGAATCCTAAAAATTGAAAAGTGGAGAAATCGAACAATAATTGAAAAATTAAAAGCTTGAGAAATCGAAAAGAAAAATAGGAGAATTGACAAATTGTAGAATTGTAGAACTGAAAAACCGAGAAGTCGAGATGTTTCTAAAAATCGTGAAATGAAAAAATCAACAAATTAGTAAGTCAAAAAGTCTAAAAATCCAGAAATCGAAAAATTGAAAAATCGAGAAATCGAAGAATCTAAAATTTCAAAAATCGAAAAATTGAAGAATTCCAAAACTGAGAAATCTAAAAATCGAAAAGTTAAAAAGTCGAGCAATTGAAAAATTAAATACCTCAGAAATAGAAAAGAAAAATAGGAAAATCGACGAATTAAAGAATTGAAGAACTGAAAAACCGAGAAATTGAACATTGAAAAATTGAAAGATCGAGAAATAGGAAAAACAAAAAATCGATTAATCGAAAAAGCTAAAAATCAAGAAATCTTTAAACTCATTAATCTAGTAATCCGAAAAATTTTGCACCAAAAACTGAAAAATTGCAAAATTAAAAAATTCGAAAATCTGAAGAATCGAAAAATAAAAAATGAAAACATTAGAAATTGCAAAATGGAAAAATCTGAAATTTAAAAATTGCATAAAATTGACAAATAGAACAATCGCGGTACTAAAAAATCGAGAAATCGAAAAATTTAAAAAAATTGAAATTGAAACATTCTAAAACAAACATTGAAAAACTGAGAAATTTAAAACTTGACAATTGAAAAAATTGAACAGTTGAAGTATCAAATACCTGAAAAATGATTGAAGAAGCGAAAACCGAAAATTGAGAAGTCGAGAAATTGAACATGGAAAAATCGAGAAATCGAGAAATGGGAAAGTCAAAAAATCGATTAAACCAAAAATTTAAAAACCAAGAAATGGAAAAATTGGTAATCGAGGAATCGAGAAATCGAAAAGTCGAAAATTTAGGAACGTCAAAAATTGAAGAATCGAAAAATTTCAAAATTCGGAAATCTGAAGAATGAAAAAAATTGAAAAATCGCAAAATTGAAAATTCTAAAATTTAAATGTTGTAAAAAAATGACAAATAGAACAGTCGAGGTACTCAAAAATCGAGCAATCGACAAATCAAAAATTTAAAAATCGAAAAATTGAAGAATTGATTGAAACATCAAAAATTTAAAAAATCGAAAAATAACTGAAGAATCAAAAACCTGAGAAATCGAAAAGAAAAATAAGCAGATCGATAAATTGAAGAATTAAAGGATTGAAAAACCGAGAAATCTAAAATTTAAAAATTCGAAAAATTGGAAACTCGAAAAATCAATAATTTTAAAAATCATTAAGTTGAAAAAGCTAAAACCGAGGAGTCCATAAATCAAAGCATGAAAAAATTAAAAAATCTAAAATTTAATATGTAATTGCAAAAAATGATCGATGTACTAATAAATCAAGAAATCAACAAATCTAGAATTTAAAAATTCGAAAAATTGAATAATTGGAGGATTGAAACATCAAAAAATTGAAAAGTGGAAAAATTTTAAATCAAAAAATTGAAAAATTGGAAAATCGCAGAACTGAAACATTGGAAAATTGAGAAATTGAAACACCGAAAAATGGAAAAATCGAAAATTTAAAAAATCGAACAACTGAAAAGTAGTGAGAATAGTCGAGAAATTGAACATCAAAAATCAAAACATCAAGAATTTTTTAATCGAAAAATACCAAAACTGAAACATTGAGAAACCGAGAATTCTAAAAATCGAACTGAAGAATCAAAAACCTAGAAAATAGGAAAATCGATAAACTGAAGAACTGAAGATCTGAAAAACCGAAAAATCGAGAAGTCCAAAACTGAACATCGGAAAATCGGGAAATCGAGAAATGGGAAAATCGAAAAATCCAGAAATAAAAAGTCGAAAATTTAGAAACGCCAAAAATTGAAGAATTTAAAAAATCGGAAATCTGAAGAATGAAAAAATTGCAAAATCGCAAAACTGAAGACTCTAGATTTTAAAAATTGTAAAAAATTCACAAATAGAACAATCGAGCTACTGAAAAATTGAGAAATCCAAAACTTTAAAATTTAAAAAATCGAAAAATTGAAGAATCGAAAAAATTTAAACGAAAAAATGAAAAATTCCTGAATTGAAACACTGAAAAACTGGGAAATCCTGTGAAATTGAAAAGAAGAATAGGAAAATTTATTAATTGAAAAAGTGAAGAACTGAAAAAACGAGAAATCAGAACTCGAAAAATTGAACATCGAAAAAAAATCGAGAAATGGGGAAATAAAAAAATCAATTAATGAAAAGTCCAAAAATCGAGAAATCGAAAAATTGATTAATGGATTAATCGAGAAATCGAAAAGTCAAAACTTTAGGAATGCCAAAAATCGCAAAATTGAAAAATTTCAAAATTCGGAAATCTGAAGAATGAAAAAAATTGAAAAATCGCAAAATTGAAAAATCTAAAATTTAAATATTGTAGAAAATTGACAAATAGAACAGTCGAGCTACTGAAAAATTGAAGAATGGAAAAAATTTTAAACGAAAAAATGAAAAATTCCAGAATTGAAACACTGAAAAACTGGGAAATCCTGTGGAATTGAAAAGAAGAATAGGAAAATTTATAAATTGAAAAAGCGAAGAACTGAAAAACCGAGAAATCAGAACTCGAAAAATTGAACATCGAAAAAAAGTCGAGAAATGGGGAAATAAAAAAATCAATTAATTGAAAAGTGTAAAAATCGAAAAATCGAAAAACTGATTAATGGATTAATCGAGAAATCGGAAAGTCAAAAATTTAGAAACGCCAAAAATTGAAAAATTGAAAAATTTCAAATTTCGGGAATCTGAAGAATGAAAAAAATTGAAAAATCGCAAAATTGAAAAATCTAAAATTTAAATATTGTAGAAAATTGACAAATGGAACAGTCGAGGTATTCAAAAATCGAGCAATCGACAAATCTAAAATTTAAACATCGAAAAATTGAAGAATTGATCGAAACATAAAAAACTAGAAAAATCGAAAAATTTTTAATCGAAAAATAAAAAAGTGGAAAAATGGAAAATTTAAAAAATCGAAAAATAATTGAAGAATCAAAAACCTGAGAAATCGAAAAGAAAAATGAGCAGATCGATAAATTGAAGAATTAAAGAACTGAAAAACCGAGAAATCGAGAAATCGAAAAATCTAAAAATCGAGAAATCGAAAAATTGATTAATCGAGAAATCGAGAAATCGAAAATTTAAAAATTCGAAAAATAGGAAACTCGAAAAATCATTAAGTTGAAAGATCTAAAACCGAAAAGTCGATAAATCAAAAAATTAAAAAATCCAAAATTTAATACGTAATTGCAAAAAATGACACAGAAAAATCGATGTACTAAAAAATCAAGAAATCAACAAATCTAGAATTTAAAAATTTGAAAAATTGAAGAATTGGAGGATTGAAACATCAAAAAATTGAAAAGTTGAAAAATTTTAAATCAACAAATTGAAAAATCCCCGAACAGAAACATTGGAAAATTGAGAAATTGAAACTTCGAAAAGTGGAAAAATAAAAAATTTAAAAAATCGAACAACTGAAGAATCAAAAACCTGAGAAATCGAAAAGAAAAATAGGAAAGTCAATAAATTGAAAAATTGAAGAACTGAAAAACCCAGAAATCGAATAGTCGAGAAATTGAACATCAAAAATCGAAAAATTCAAAAATACCAAAACTGAAACATTGAAAAACCGAGAATTCTAAAAATCGAACTGAAGAATCAAAAACCTAAGAAATCGAAAAGGAAAACAGGAAAATCGATAAATTGGAGAACTGAAAATCTGAAAAACTGAAAAATCGAGAAATCTAGAAATTGATTAATCGAGAAACCGAAAAGTCGAAAATTTAGCAACTTCAAAAAGACGAAAAATCGCAAAACTGAAAAATCTAATATTTAAATATTGGAAAAAAATGACAAATACAAAAATCGAAAAATTTATTAACCGAGTAATCGAGAAATCGAAAAGTCGAAAATTTAGGAACGCCAAAAATTAAAACATTTAAAAATTTAAAAATTCGGAAATCTGAAGAATCGAAAAATTGCAAAAATGAAACACTGAAAAATTGAGAAATCCAAAAATTGAAAAGTGGAAAAATCGAAAATTTAAAAAATCGAGCAATTGGAGAATTGAAAACCTGAGAAATCGAAAAAAAAATAGGAAAATCAATAAGTTGAAGAATTGAAGAACGAAAAAACCGAGAAATCTAGAAAACGAGAAATGGGAAAATCAAAAAATCTGGGGAATCAAAAAACTGGAAAATTTAAAAATTTAAAAATTCGGAAATCAGAAGAATCGAAAAACCGAGAAATGAAAAAATTGAAAAATTGAGAAACTTAAAAATATCTATGTCTAGAACACTCATAAGTTCAGGACTATGTTACTTTTTAAAATTTAAGTAACATTTATTCGAGAAAATTGTAAGATGACATCAATTCCTCTGTGGTGCAAAATTTCAAAGTATTCGATTTTGTAATTTCAAAATTAAATTGTAAAATGGCTTTATACAATTTTGATTTTATTTCAAAAATCTAGATTCTTAGGGGTAAAACTCAACACCGATTCATAAAGCACAAGTGGAAGAGTGCGTCATTTTATAAAATTTAAATAACATTTACTATTACAAAATTGGAGATGACGTCATTCATTGTTGGTGGTGATGATCAGTTAAATATTGGTTAGCGTTTTACTATCTACATGATATTCCTGAATAAAAATTGAGGAGAGCTCGATCGCCTTGATCAGAGGATAGAATGAGGTCCTTGTACGCTACTACATATTAAACATTTTTCAGAACAACAAATCACAAAATAAAATAAATCACTACCGGGCACTCTAAAACGCAAACACACTTGACCAAAATATCGCAACCCAATTAATTAATTAACTCCGCTACATCCCAACCCTCTCGAAACAGTTTCGCTGCAGTGAAGCACCGCCACGGGGCTAATTTCTGCCCCTCTCTGAACTGGCGCACCTCTCGACCTTTCCAAGCTCAAATTACAGATAAAATTCCTGTGTTGTAAAAGGCTTCATTACGAATTAATTACATGAAATGCACCTGAACTTGAACCACTCTGAAAGGGTACAGTTTGATGCATCACGAGATCAATTTCAAGTTCATTACTAGTGCTGTAATTAAATTGGCCGGCGGAAACTAATCAATGCAACCGGGACCTGGAATAAGCAAGTTATCGTTTAAACGGATTCTGGGAGCGCTTAATTAAAAGTCAAAATTAAAGTTGCTCGAATGGTATGATTATGACGAGGCGGAGCACCATCTTGTGGCTGAATTTTAGTCGGTCCAGTAATAAAATAAAGCGCCGGCGGCTCTCTAGAGTAGAGTAGATCAGCATAGGCTGGTAATTAACGGCAGTGGAATACCTGGCTAATCAATGACCATCGAGTCCACTGATGAACTAGTTAATTACATGTACTTCTACTGGATGCGATTTCGTGTAACAGCGAAAACATATTTGAGGTAATTACGGTCCAGGCACTGTTTAAATTGTGTGGGTGCTTTTAAAATTGATTAGCGACTGATTACGTTCCGAAAACTCTACAATAATTAATGTATGTATTTGATTAAACGCACAAAAATATTTTTTAGATAAACAAAGCGTGTTTTATTATTATGCAACAAAAGCATTATCTCCAAGGAGTTATCGGAATTTTAAAAATAAACGGAAACGCGAAATAAATAACAGATAAACCGTGTACCGGATAATAGTTAATCAAATTGTGCAGTCTTCCAAAAGCAGTTCAAACGTGCACCATATACGAAAAAAAAAGAAAAAAGAGAAAAGTTTCATTTTGTTTTATTAAAAATACGTAGACATTTGCGTTGTACAAAGTTATATTCTTACACAGTAATAAATATCCTTACGAAATTACCACATTAAAAATAAAATTCAACAGGAACACAAACCCAGCCATTCACACTTTATTCAAATCTACAAAAAAACTACAACTTATACACGTATTCGTGAACACCTAACCAATAAACACGTCATTATCGATCAACCCTCGTTTAAAATCTCGTTTTCCCGCACGTGTTCATATACAAAGACGACGATTTGTACGACGGGGGCGGCTGTGATATGGGTATTGGAGCAATGCCGGAAGGAATCTCATCATACACAGGTTCCGAGTGCACACTGTGGCTCAAATCGAGGTCGGGTTCAGGTATTGAGGCGGCTCGATAGCTTCCTGTTGAAGGGGGATGATCGTAGAGAAAATCTGTCCCAAAAAACATTTAAAGTTTAATTATCTAATTTATTAATGTGATTACCTTTGCTGTTGGGGTGTCCGGGAAAATTCATGCTGCAGACGACGTGGGTTTCGAAGCGGCCTTCACCTGAAGGGTTGGTTTCGACGGGGTTAACAAATATTGGGTTTTCGAAGATGGGAGGATCTGCAACCAAATATACACAGCGTTGATTGACTTATTGAAAGTGCATTAGTGTTTATTTCCGAATTATGTATGCAACCAAATATACACAGCGTTAATTAGCTCACCTAACTCTAGTTACATTGTAACAACACTAATAAATTTTTAATTTCTACCATTAATAATAATAACAATTTTTGACGTTATTAAAAGAATCGTGTGTTATATATGTTATATTTTACTATATGTTTGTATAAAATAAATTGGTGAAGAAAATTTTGCAAAAAAAGTGTTTGACCCCGACGTGATTTGAACACGCAACCTTCTGATCTGGAGTCAGACGCGCTACCGTTGCGCCACGGAGTCAGTTGTTACACAAGGCGACTTTCTTTGTATTTACGGAACCGTTTTGTTTATCGATTGATGTTAAAATCCTTGTGATAACATCGAATTGTTTGAAACTTATCACTAACGCCTCCAAAGTGGCACCACTCGAATTAGAAACTAAACATTGATATGGACAAATGGAAAAAAAATCGTGCGTTGTTATTGGCTGGTCTAGAAAATTTCGGAAACTTTTTGAACTGCGGTAGGCTATGACTCATGTTGTGCACGAATTTGTCATTTGAGACGGATTTATTGGAAAATTTAAAAATAAATTTCTGAAGCGCAAAAAATTGAAAAACTGAAAAGAAAAAAATTTAAAAATGGGAAACTTGTGAAATTGAAAAAACTGAATTCTCGAAGAATGAGGAAATCGAAAATCTTAAAAATCGAGACAGAAAAGTTGTAAAATCGAAAAATCGGGCCATTGGAAAACCCGGAAATTCGAGACACTGAAAACTCGCGAAATCGAGAAATCGAAGAATTGAAAATAGGAAAATTGAAAAATCAAATACTTTAAAATCAAAAAATTGAAAAATCTAAAACCAAGAAGTCGAAAAATTGAAACATCAGAAAATTGAAAAATGTAAAGCCTAAAAAATCGAAAAATTAAAATGTCCAATAATTGAAAAATCGATGTCGAGAAATCCAAAATTCGAAGAATCGAAATATTAATACACTGAAAAAAATCAAAAATCGCGAAACGAAACATCAAAAAATCGTAAAACTCAAAAATTGAAAAATGGAAAAATGTAAAATCCAAGGAATCGAAAACTTGAAAAATCGAAAAATTAAAAATTTTAAAAATCAAGACATTGAAACACTGAAAAATATAATTCCGAAAAGTAGAAAAATCGAAAATCGAGCAATGGAAACATCAGAAAATCCAAAACCAGAAATTAAAAAATTCCTAAAATTGAAGTGTTAAGAACTTGGAATAAAAAATTTGAAAAATCGGGAAATCGAGAAATCGAAAAATTTTTTTTTAAATTGTGAAAAAAAAGTAGAATTATGTACATAAAAAATAAAAAATTCGTATAATCAAGAAATTGAAACACCGAAAAATGGAAAAATCGAAAATCGAGCAATGGAAACATAAAAAAATTGAAAAATTCAAGATTTAAAAATTCAAAAAATTAAAATATCGACAAATTGAAAAAACCAGAAATTGAAGAATTCCTAAAATTAAAATGTTGAACCATGGAGAAACCAAAAATTTGAAAAATTGGGGAATCCGGAAATAGAAAAATCGAAAACCACAATATTTTTTAAAATTGTAAAATCGGAAAATTGAAAAATTAAGAACTGCAAAAGTTGAGAAATCCAAAAACCGAAACTTGAAAAATCTGAAATCGAGCAATCGAAACATCAAAAACTCGAAACAAATCAAAAAATTATAAATATCGACAAACTGATAAAACTAGAAATTGAAAAATTCCCAAGATTGAAATATTGAAAAATCGAGAAATCGAAAATTTGAAAAATCGAGAAATGGAAAATTTCAGAAATCGAGAAATGGAAAATTTCAGAAATTGAGAAATGAAAAATTTCAGAAATCGAGAAATCGAAAATTTGAAAAAATCGAGTAATCGAAAAATCGAGAAGCCGAAAAACTGAAAAAACAAAAATGGAGAAATTGAAAAATCCCCAAACTCTATTCTCGAAAAATTAAGACACCGAAAAATTGAAATTCCCAAAAGTAGAAAAATCGAATAACTGAATAAATCGAGAAATCAAAACCTTTTAAAAATCAAAAAACTGAAAGGTAATAAATTTTACAAATGGAAAAATTGAAAAATAAAAAAATTTAAAACTCGAAAGTGCAAAAAAAACGAAAAAAATTGAAATAATCAAGAAATTGACACCAAAAAAACGAAAAATTCAAGACTTAAAAAATCAAAAAATTAAAATATCGACAAACTGAAAAAACTAGAAATTGAAAAATAACATTGAAATATTGAAAAATCGAGAAATTGAAAATTTCAGAAATCCAGAAAACGAAAATGTCAGAAATCGAGAAATGGAAAATTTCAGAAATCGAGAAATCGAAAATTTCAGAAATCGAGAAATCGAAAATTTGAAAAATCAAGAAATCGAAAAATCGAAAAGCCGAAAAACTGAAAAAACAAAAATAGAGAAATTGAAAAATCCCCAAACTGCATTCTCGAAAAATTAAGACACCGAAAAATCGAAAAATCAAAACATGGAAAAATTAGGGAATCAAAAAATCCAAATGTCTAAAAATCGAGAAATCGAGACATGAAAACATCGAAAAATCGAGAAACTGAAACTGCCCAAAATCTAAAAATTAATAAATAAAAAAGTAAAATTAAAAAAAAATCGTAAATTGAAAAATCGAAAAATCAAAAAATTGAAAAACTGAAAAATCGAATTCCGAAATGTCTAAAATTGGAAAAAGTGAATAATCGAGAAATCAAAACGTTTTAAAAATCGAAAAACTGAAAACCAATAAATTTTACAAATGGAAAAATAGAAAAATAAAAAAAATTCAAACCCGAAAATTCAAAAAAACGAAAAATTGGAAAATTCCCAAAATTGAAATGTCGAAAAATAGAGAAATGGAAAATTTGATAAATCTAACAACTGAAAAGAAAAATAGGAAAGTCATGAAGAACTGAAAAACCCAGAAATCGAATAGTCGAGAAATTGAACATCAAAAATCGAAAAATCAAAAATTTTTTAATCGAAAAATTGAAAAATACCAAAACTGAAACATTGAAAAACCGAGAATTCTAAAAATCGAACCGAAGAATCAAAAACCTAAGAAATCGAAAAGGAAAATAGGAAAATCGATAAATTGAAGAACTGAAGATCTGAAAAACCGAAAAATCGAGAACTCGAGAAATTGATTAATCGAGAAATCGAAAAGTCGAGTATTTAGGAACTTCAAAAAAATTAACAAAATTAAAAATTTAAAAATTCGTAAATCTGAAGAATCGAAAAACTGAAGAATTTAAAAAATCGAAAAATTGAAGAATCGAATGATTCAAACATCAAAAATCAAAAAATCGAAACATTTTTAAACAAAAAATCGAAAAATTGAAAGATTTCAAAAATGAAACATTGAAAAATTGAGAAATCCAAAAATTAAAAAGTGTAAAAATCGAAAATTTAAAAAATCGAGCATTTGGAGAATCGAAAACCTGAGAAATCGAAAAAAAAGAAGAAATCGATAAGTTGAAGAATTGAAGAACGAAAAAACCGAGAAATCCAGACAACGAGAAATGGAAAAATGAAAAAATCGAAAAATTGATTAATCGAGTACTCGAGAAATCGAAAAGTCGAAAATTTGGGGAATCAAAAAACTGGTAAATTTAAAAAATTTAAAAATTCGGAAATCAGAAGAATCGAAAAACCGAGAAATAAAAAATTGAAAATCGAGGAATGGAAACATCAAAAAATCGAAAAATTCAAGATTTAAAAAAAAATTAAAATATCGACAAATTGATAAAACTAGAAATTGAAAAATTCCCAAGACTGAAATATTGAAAAATCGAGAAATCGAAAATTTGAAAAATCGGGAAATGGAAAATTTCAGAATTCGAGAAATGGAAAATTTCAGAAATCGTGAAATGGAAAATTTCAGAAATCGAGAAATCGAAAATTTGAAAAATCGAGAAATCGAAAAATCGAAAAGCCGAATAACTGAAAAAACAAAAATAGAGAAATTGAAAAATCCCCAAACTGAATTCTCGAAAAATTAAGACACCGAAAAATTGAAAAATCAAAACATGGAAAAATTAGGGAATCAAAAAATCCAATGTCTAAAAGTCGAAAGATTGATACATCGATAAATCGCCACATGAAAAGATCGGAAAATCGAGAAACTGAAACTGTCCAAAATCTAAAAATTAATAAATAAAAAAAGTAAAATTAAAAAAAAATCCGAAAATTGAAAAATTGAAAAATCAAAAAATTGAAAAACCGAAAAATCGAATTCCGAAAAGTAGAAAAATCGAAAAACTGAATTAATCGAGAAATCAAAACGTTTTAAAAATCGAAAAACTGAAAAGTAATAAATTTTACAAATGGAAAAATTGAAAAATAAAAAAACTGAAAACCCGAAAGTGCAAAAAAACGAAAAAAATTGAAATAATCAAGAAATTGAACACCAAAAAAAAAAAAAACGAAAAATTCAAGGCTTAAAAAATCAAAAAATTAAAATATCGACAAATTGAAAAAACTAGAAATTGAAAAATAACATAGAAATATTGAAAAATCGAAAAATGGAAAATTTCAGAAATCTAGAAATCGAAAATTTTAGAAATCGACAAATCGAAAATTTGAAAAATCGATAAATCGAAAAGCCGAAAAACTGAAAAAACGAAAATAGAGAAATTGAAAAATCCCCAAACTGAATTCTCGAAAAATTAAGACACTGAAAAATTGAAAAATCAAAACATGGAAAAATTAGGGAATCAAAAAATCCAATGTCTAAAAGTCGAAAAATTGATACATCGAGAAATCGCCACATGAAAAGATCGAAAAATCGAGAAACTGAAACTGTCCAAAATCTAAAAATTAATAAATAAAAAAAGTAAAATAAAAAAAATCCGAAAATTGAAAAATCGAAAAATCAAAAAATTGAAAAATTGAATTCCGAAAAGTAGAAAAATCGAAAAACTGAAAAACCAGAAAAAACAGGAAATTGTGTAATCGAAAAATCCCGAAACTAAATTCTCGAACAATGAGGAAATCGAAAAACTCAAAGATCAACTGGAAAACCCGGAAATTGAACAACTGAAAAATCGAAAAAGTGAAAACTCGATAAATCGAGAACTCGAAAAATTGAAACATAGATAAATAAACAAAAAAAAAATACAAAATTGAAATACTGACAAATCAAATATTTTAAAAATCAAAGAAATTGAAAAATCTAAAACCAAGAAGTCGAAAAATTAAAAGATCAAAAATTGAAAAATGTAAATTGTAAAATATCGAAACATTAAAATGTCCAAAAATTGAAAAATCGATGTCAAGAAATCCACAATTCGAAGAATCGAAATATTGAGAAAATTAAAAATCGGGAAACCGAAACATCAAAAAATCGTAAAATCTAAAAATTGAAAAATGGAAAAATGTAAAATTTAAGAAATCGAAAATGAAAAATCGAAAAATCACAGAATAGAGAATTTGAAAAATCCCCAAACTGAACTGAAATATTGAGAAATCGAAAAATGTAACAATCGAAAAATTACAAATTTTAAAAATCACGAAATTGAAACACTGAAAAACATAATTCCGAAAAGTAGAAACATCGAAAATCGAGCAATGGAAACATCAAAAAATCCAAAACTAAAAATTGAAAAATCCCTGAAATTGAAATGTTGAAAACTTGAGGAATCAAAAATTTTAAATATCGGGAAATCGAGAAGTCGAAAAATGTTTTTTTAAATTGTAAAATCGGAAAATTGGAACATTAAGAACTGTAAAATCGAGCAATCAAAACATAAAAAAAGATTAAATTTTAAAAATGAAACAATTAAAATATCGATAAATTGATAAAACTAGAAATTGAAAAATTCCCAAGATTGAAATATTGAAAAATTGGGAAATCGAAAATTTGAAAAACAGAGAAATCGAAAAATCGTAAAGCCGAAAAATTAAAAATCGAAATAACAGGAAATGGAAAATTTGAAAAATCCCCAAACTGAATTCTTGAAAAATTGGGAATCCGAAAAATTGAAAAATCGAAAAATCGGGAAAATGAACAATAGAAAAATCGAAAATTGAAATGTTGACAAATCGAGCAAACGCTAATTGGCAAATTGAAAAAGACTGAAAAATCCGAGATTCCGAGAAGTAGAAAAATCGAAAATCGAGCAATCGAAATATCAAAAAATCGAAAAATTGAATATTTAAAAAATCAAAAATTTAAAATATCGACAAATTGTAAAAATGTGCCAAGTTTTTTTTAAATTGTCAAATCGGAGAATTGAAAAATTGAGAAATATGAAATTTAAAAAATCGACAATTTGAAAAAGCGAAAATCGGAATCCGAAAGGAGAAAATCGAGCAATCGCCACAATAAATAGACTCAGTCATTAATTTTTTTGAAACACCCCGTATAAACAAATCTAAAAAATGTTAGTGCAGTGATAAATCACAAGTATTGACTCAACATTTTTTGCACTTTTAAGATAGGATTTATTCAGCAAAATTTTGAGGTGACAAGATTTCAAAGCATTTGGTTTTGCAGATTCAAAATTAAATTAACAGACGGACAGACGGACAAACAGACAGAGAAAAGCTAAAGGTAGAGAGTGGGCCGACGGAAATTAAAGAAAGCAACATTGAGTCGGGCGGCTTGGAATACTGGCCTGGCGCCATGGTAACGCTGCATCGCCGCCCCCGACCTGAGTGACACTCGCTTTACATCGAATGTTCTCGAATTTTGACGGACAGTTATCGATTATAGCGTTGACATTTATGAGTAGGCCGAAGTTAGCCACTTCCAAAACCAACAGTTTTTCAGCCACAACACAATTCGTACCAGGAAGTTAATGGAAAGTGTTATTTATGAATCTATGAACTACATTGTTATTATGTAGGTAAAGGTGAAGCGGTAAAAGGAACATAATCCTACCCACCAAAGCACTGATATCTCAAACCACGATTCACGACTTAGTTTTACATAATTATCCCGTCATGTTTCCATAAATACATACAAATTTAAACTCAAGCAGACCAGATCAGAGTAGCGTCACCTACCTGGCAGCGGCGTGTGAAAAATACTATGCGTGTACACCGCCACCGTCGACACCCCCTTGCCCCTCTCCCCGTCCTTGGCCTTCCGGCTCCTCTTGAAGTGGTTCGCCGCCACAATCACCGCCGCCACGATGATGATCCCCGCGGAAATGGCCGTCGCCGCACTGGCGCTGTTGACCAGATCGTTCTTGTTAATCTCGGGATTTCCCCCGTTTCCGCCACTAACCTCGGTACTTTTCACTTTCGTTCGCGATTTCGTGATCTGCACCGGTTCAGTGGTCTCGGCGAGACTATCGCGACCCACCGAAACGTAATTGTTGATTGGCATCTCGTCAATTTCTCGCCTTTGTGCGTCTTCAAAGATGGGAAACGGCGCTTCCGTCGGCGGAGGTGTCGAAAGTAGGGCGGCCTGGGGGACCTCGAGCTTCCCGTTGTTGGTGAAGCTGATGGGCGGCGAAGAGGGCGAGGGGGAGGAAAGGGGCGGCGAGGGGGAGGTTGGGAGGCAGCGGCCGGTGGCCGGGTGGCAGGGCTCGCACGGGCAGCGGAGCTGGCAAAGAGAGCCGTAGAAGCCGGCGGGGCAGGGGGACTGGCATCTGGAATGGAAAAAATATACAGCTAGCGAAGCGAGCTATTTTTTATTTTTCACGTTTTTAAGCGTGAAAGTAACTAAATTTCCTTAACGTTGTTAATTTTCCATTGTAGGACATGAAGCTTTTCCGAGGGTGTAACGATTGCGGCCTCGTGGCTCGGTGGTTTGAGCCTGTGACGGGTAATCCTGGAGGAAATCATATAGGAGTTTCTCTCCCGGGGCCAGGTACGTCTTTTTTTTCAAATTTTTGGCGGAAATTAAAAAATAAGTTAACACGTCAATTGAAAAAATTCTCTATTAAAGGAAAATGAACGTTTTTCGAGGAAAAAACTTACCGAACCTCCTTCAAAATATTAATTAAGTAAAGACGTAAAATTGCTTTACTTACTCATCTCCTATCCATCCTGGGAGACAGAGGCAACTTCCTGTAAAACGATCACACCCACCACCATTGCAATTACATTTAAACTTGCAACCTTCTCCCCATTCGAACTCCTCGCAGTCTGAAAATAGCAAACTGTGTAGTTCAGAACACACAATTTACATGCAAGCGATTAACTAAAGTATCTACACAAAAAGCATTTTTTTTAGAACTACTTTTATCTCTAAATGGAAAGTTTAGAGAAGGCACGCAATTAAAATGGATCATAAAATTGATACTTATTTACTCGTAGTGTTAGAGCTAATAATTACCTTCAACATCTGCAGTTCATAAAGAATTTCCAAGTCTGTTAGCCTATTGTCTATTTATCATGTTTTATCACTGCAATTTCTTTGAATGTTACACTTGACATTTAAAAAAAATTCACAGGATGCACTAGGTCATATATTATTAAGCGTGTTGAAATTGTTTATTCTTAAGATTACATCATTCCAACAGTTGTTAAAAAGATTACATGTGTTTCAAGTCCATAATTAGAATTTCAGAGAACGAGAGCTACATTTTTCTCAAAATTATTAAGTGCATTAGGTTACTAACGCAGGCAAAATTTTACGTGAACAAAAATTTGTTTGACCTCCATTTTTGCTGAATATCTTTTAAAAATCTGTAAAAAGTCGCATTTTTTTAGAAATGGAAGGAATCTCAGGAGGCCCCTCTATTTTTTTTAAAGAAGTCTCAACTATCTTTTTTTTTGAAAAATGTAAAACAATCTCTGGGACACTTTCTTTTTTTTAAGGAAACGAAACAATTTCTGAGGAACCTTCTGTCTTGTTTTAAGAATGTGAAATAACCTAGAGTCCTTTTTTTAGGAATGTGAACCCTGACGGCCGGCTTTGGTGTCTTTATTTTAGGAATGTTAAAGAATCTCAAGAGCACCCTCTGATATTTCATAAGACAAAACTGATTTTGGCACTTTTGGGATTTTCGACTATTTTCGAAATAATTGAAATATCCATTTCTTCAGCAATTCCTACCGTTTTTCCAAAATCGCCAATTGAAATATAGCAATTTTTACGGTTCCGTCAAAATAGCTCGGTATAAAAATTTTGAAGAAAATACAATCATTTTAAGAATTTACTTTGTGGCTTTTAAATATTCAGAACAAGTCAGATCACATTAGGTCAAGTCAGGTCAGGTGCACGAAATAAGAAATAAATTTTATAGCAAAAAGTATAGTAACTATTTTCGAAATAGTTGAAGTCATTTTCTTGTAGACTTCGAAATCCAGAAGTCGTTTTCGGGTACATTTCTTTGGAAATTTCTACTGTTTTTCGAAAATCGCCAATTGAAATATAGCAATTTTTACAGTTCCGTCAAAAAAGCTCGGTATAAAAATTTTGTAGATAAAAAACTTAATAATAATCATTCATTTTTGTTTCAAAAAATACAATTATTTAAAGAATGTACTTCGTGGCTTTTATATATTCACAGAACTGTTTAAAATTTGTTTATTTGAGACAATAGAAAAGTCAGAACAAGTCAGCTCACGTTAAGCCAAATCAGGTCAGGTGCATGAAATAAGAAATCAATTTTATAGCAAATAGTATAACAAAAAAAGTTCCGATTGGCGTTTTTTCTTACATCTTTTTTCTACACACACTCAACAGAAGAACATTATTAACCCCGCCCACCCACCCTGTCTCAATTCAGTGATTAATTTTATCTGATCTGATTGAAATGAATTATGTTATACTGAAAAGAAATAAATACAATTAGTCGTTAGAATGAGAAAGACTGATTTTGGCAAATAACATACCTTCCAAGCAAATAGAGGGTGGGTGGGCGGGGCTAATATTTGATAAGATAAAACTGATTTTGGCACTTTTGCAATTTTCGACCAATTTTCAACTATTTTCGAAATAGTTGAAGTCATTTTCTTGTAGACTTCGAAATCCAGAAGTCTTTTTCGGGTACATTTCTTCGAAAATTTCTACTGTTTTTCCAAAATCGCCAATTGAAATATAGCAATTTTTACAGTTCCGTCAAAATAACTCGGTATAAAAATTTTGTAAATAAAAAAGGAAATAATCATTCATTTTTGTTTCATAAAATACAGTTAAATATTTTAAGAATTTACTTTGTGGCTTTTATATATTCACAGAACTGTTTAAAATTAGTTTATTTGAGACAATAGAAAAGTCAGAACAAGTCAGGTCACGTTAAGCCAAATCAGGTCAAGTGCATGAAATAAGAAATAAATTTTATAGCAAATATGTAGTATAACAAAAAAAAGTTACGATTGACGCATCATTCACATCTTTTTTCTACTCCCACTCAACAGAAGAACACAATTAGCCCCGCCCACCCACCCTGTCTCCTTTTCACTGATCGATTTTATTCGATTTGAACGAAATGAATTATCTTATACTGAAAAGAAATAAAATTAGTCGTTAAAATGAGAAGAGGGGGGAGGGGTTAGTACTTGCTAAGATAAGACTGATTTTGGCAAATCACATACCTTCCAAGAAAATAGAGGGTGGGTGGGCGGGTCTAATATTTGATAAGATAAAATTGATTTTGGCATTTTTGACATTTTCGACAATTTGTCAACTATGAAGTTATTTTCGCGTTCATTTCTTCGGAAATTCCTACCGTTTTTCCAAAATCGACAATTGAAATATAGCAATTTTTACAGTTCCGTCAAAATAGCTCGGTATGAAAATTTTGTAGATAAAAAAGGAAATAATCATTAATTTTTGGGTCACAAAATACAATTAAATATTTTAAGAATTTACTTTGTGGCTTTTATATATTCACAGAACTGTTTAAAACTAGTTTATTTGAGACAATAGAAAAGTCAGAACAAGTCAGGTCACGTTAAGCCAAATCAGGTCAGGTGCATGAAATAAGAAATAAATTTTATAGCAAATAGTATAACAAAAAAAAGTTACGATTGACGTTTTTTTTACTTTTTTTTTTACATCTTTTTTCTACTCACACTCAACAGAGGAACATAATTAGCCGCGCCCACCCACCCTGTCTCAATTCAGTGATTAATTTTATCTGATCTGATTGAAATGAGTTATGTTATACTGAAAGAAATAAATAAAATTAGTCGTCAGAATGAGAAAGACTGATTTTGGCAAATCACATACCTTCCAAGCAAATAGAGGGTGGGTGGGCGGGGTTAATATTTGATAAGATAAAACTGATTTTGGCACTTTTGCCATTTTCGACCAATTTTCAACAATTTTCGAAATAGTTGAAGTCATTTTCTTGTAGACTTCGAAATCCAGAAGTCGTTTTCGGGTACATTTCTTCGGAAATTCCTACCGTTTTTCCAAAATCGGCAATTGAAATATAGCAATTTTTACAGTTCCGTTTTGACACCTCATCAGCATGGATTTCTGCCAGGAAAAAGCACAGTAACAAATCTCGCCATCTACAATGAATATATCATTGATGCTTTAGAGGAGGCAGCTCAAGTCGACGCTGTATATCTAGATTTCTGTAAAGCTTTCGACAGAGTCAACCATGCCCTTCTTTTAAAGAAATTAAAGATTTATAGCATACGAGGTTCTCTTCATCGCTGGTTAGCTTCTTACCTATTAAATCGTACCCAAAAAATCTCAGTTAAAGGCTTTTTATCAGATGCTATTTCTATTCCCTCGGGAGTCCCACAAGGCAGTCACATCGGCCCTATTTTATTTTTAATATTCATAAATGACCTGACACTATCACTTAATTTTGTTAGATTTTTATTCTTTGCGGACGATCTTAAAATATTCATTAATGTTAACGACCTTGCAGATTGTCAAGCTATGCAATATACTCTTATAAAAATAACCAACTGGTGTAGTGAAAATAGCATGCAATTAAATAACAAAAAGTGTAAACAAATAACATTCTCCAGGAAAAAATCCACTATAAAATTTTCTTATAGCATTGACAACCAAATCCTGGAGGCTGTTAGTGAAATTAGGGACTTGGGGATCATTTTTAATTCGACTTTAAGTTTTGTTAAGCATATAGATTATGTAATCGATAAGTCTTTTCGAGTTAGTGGTTTCATAAGAAGAATGACTGCAGATTTCCATAGCATCATAGCAATTCGTAAGCTCTTTATTACCATGATTAGACCAATTTTAGAATATGGCATTCTTATCTGGTTTCCTTCATATGCAATTCACGAAACTCGCCTCGAAAGGGTGCAAAGAAAGTTCTGTAATTATTTAATGTTTAAAATGGGTCTCAATAAATCAAATTACAATTATAATCAAAGACTTGCTATAACAGAACTAGAGACTCTTACACAGCGTAAGTTAAAATTTGAGCTTAAGTTTGCATATAAACTGTTCAATAATCAAATTGATAGTGCCGAATTCTTATCCTTATTTAATTTTAGAGTACCTTTGGTACATACTAGGAACCAGGACACAATCTTATGTTCGTTTAAAAGAACAAATCTCGGTTACAACACTTCTGTAGTAAATAGAATAGGATTCGCGGTTAATAACTTAGTAGATATAGATATCTTCAGTTGCTCGCAACATATGTTTAATAATTATTTAAGACGTTTGTAGTTATTAGGACATCTTATTTCATATTTTGTTTTTTAAAACTATTGTCTATTTTGGAACTTTGTTCTGTTAGTCAATAAAAATTTATTTATTTATTTATTTATTTATTTATTTATTTATTTAAAATAGCTCGGTATAAAAATTTTGTAGATAAAAAAATTAATGATCATTCATTTTTTTTTAAATACAATTATTTAAAGAACAGAATAGTTAAACATATTGTCAGTTTCTTGTTGGGAAAAAGAGGCTTCGTATATTAAGACGAAACGGACCAAATATAAGCCCCGCCCACCCACCCCTTCTCAATTGTGATGAATACTTTATTCATCGTGCTCCGAAGGGTCAAGTTTAGTCGAAAAATCCTTATTTCTCTACAAGAAATTACCATATGAAATATGTTTTTAAAAAGGTAGAATTTTTTAGAGAAATATTGATTTTATAATTAAACTCCGCCCTTCGGTCTGACTAGAAATGAAACAGTCATCAAAATTGAGATTGGGGCGGGTTATTTTTTTTAAATATATAGAGTTTTGTTTCAATA